CACTATCCAGATGAAAAGCAGAGCAGCGCACGACACCCGCCAAGAAGAGATGGTCGCATAACGATGAGGGAAAATGATGGCAATGAAGCGGTTAAATGCTAATGCCATCCACGTCCAGTTGCTCAGGCAGATGGTGAGCAAGAGAACGAAATATGCCGCTGAACAGTAATACGTAAAGGAAAAGTTCATCCGTGTCAGATAAGCCGGTAGGGCAGTGATGGGCATTGCGGCCAGGGTGTAAATCAGATCGAGGCTGACAGAATGAAGGATTAGTATTCCGGAACCGCTTTTCCATTTTTTCAACTGGAGCATCATTAGTAGGAACAATACCATGAGACTAGCGGCACAGCCGCAAATGAAGAACTGGATGCCAATCCAGATGTTGAACTCCATTTTTGAAAGCGGCTCACGCAACGGCAGCGAGGCGTTTGATGAGTTGGGTATGCTTAAGGTCTTGTTGCTCATTTTTTGTTCGTCTTTAAATTCTAACAAAACTGGAGATTCAACCCTGCGTAAATTAGCCGCGGTTCGGTCAATCGAAAGGGATATTCATATTTTCGATTGTACGTTGTAATATTAATCTAAGAAAATAGTGTTTTCCTGGTGGTTGCCGCTTGTCTTGTTGTGAACGGGAAGATAATCTTTTATGTGGTAGTACAAAAAGGTATCGCAAACAACCGCAGCGCTGCATTTATGGGAACAGGTTTCCACATTGGATGCCGCCCATATTCGATGTCTTTCGCACGAAGAATTTATTTTAATAAAGGAAATGTTTTAATTGTGAGTTTGTTGGCCCATGCGCAGAAGGGGCTTTCGCATCATATAACAAGCATGACTTTTCGTGACTGGCTAGCACAGAATGCGCCTTGTCCTGATTTTCCGCATGAGTGCAAGAAAAATGCACGAACGAATACGGACTTGAGTGCTTCATTAAGCAACAACGGACCAAGTTGGTATACGACAGGTCACTGCAATTTAATTCTCGGAAACACATTATTACCATAATTAAAAGATCTGGTGCATTTATATCTGTATTCGTATTCTGTTTACGTTGCAGATCGTTGGTGCGGGTGGTGAGAGATTATCCAGTTGGATATCGACCTTTTTGTAACGACAAGGCAAAGATGGCTGTGCATATTTTTTTGCTGTTTATATATAGGAAAGTAAATGTTGGGTCTAATGTATTCGGCACCGCGTCATTTCGCCGAGAACAATTAGTCGCTGACATTTAGCCGCAATGTCCTCTCGCCGCGCGACTTTCGTAGCGAGACATTTAATTTTAGTGGACAAGACATAACGCCGCACGACATATTGTCGCAAGGCCGTTTCCGCGCCAGGACATATCGCCGCGACGCCCGTTCGACGAAGGAACAATTCATCTATCAGATAATAGTTTTTAGTTTAAATGCAACGGTGAAGAAAACAGAAAGATTCAGAACTAGAATTGATCCATGGAACCCTTGAAGCATTATTTAGGAAAACATGAGAAACCACAAGAAAACATGAAAAAAATAAGAGAACATAAAAGAACGCAATAAAAAGGCTTGCAAAGGCTTATGATTAACATATAGAAAAGAAAAACCTGGAACATTTGGCGACTTGTGAAAACTAAGCGCATCGGGATCGTTTGCGTCGAATTGTCACATGATTCGAAAGTTCCCGGACGAACTGTCTATGGCCAGTTGCCTTGCAAAATGTCGCAAAGTTAAAATGTCTCTATGCAGACATGTCCCAAAGTGAAGTGCCCAGCGTCCATATGTCCCGCGGCAAAAAGTCGCGCGTCGAAATACCACACTCCTAGTTTTCCAGGTGCGAATGTATTCAGACATAAAAATTAAAACCTTTGAGACTAACCCCAGCTGTGATTGACCTTCATGCACATTGCACTAATGCTTGCTTGTCTGTATAGTACACGTTTGTAATAATATTTATTAAAAAAGCGTAGTACTAGTGGTACTACTTGTAGTATCAGTGTGGATTGCACAGCTGGACTTTTTCCAGAACTCGATCACGTTTTCCAAAACATACAGACTCGGTATTTGTTACTCGTATTTTCAAAACGCCTAGTTGCCGCGAAATCAATTAGCCGCTTTGAGTGCTAGATTTCTTGGGAAACATGCACAACAGGAAGTGCGGTGTGAATAGCATGAATCTATTGAAGGAAACCGGAAGGATCGGAACAATGGTGTTCTTTCTTGTTAGACTTTGGCATATGGTGCTAAGTTACTGCTTTATCCCCTTTTACAGTTCATGCATTGTATGAGATTGATTTTGAAGGATTTTATAAGATATGGCAGAGGTGTTAAAAACTTCAGACGTGCCCGTACCGATGCGTTTTTCTCTATTAGCAAAAGCTAATAGAGTTTTTTCTCTATTAGTTTTTTCTCTAATTTTCTCTATTGGCAAAAGTTAATAGAGAAAAAACATTTCTCAAAAATATGCTTATTAATAATTGGTTTATCCTGGCTTAACGTCTCTGGGATAAGCATTTACGAGTATGCAGGTTACGATGTTCCCCAATGCGCTTTGCAGTTACAAAGCAATTTTAAAGGATATCTTTTAATTTTTGGGGTAAAACGTATTTATTAAAAAATGCCTGATTCAAAACGAAGCTAACAGCCCAAAACAGTGAAAACACTGCAGCAGTTCTAGATATCATGTTAAACAGAGGAAAGTTGGGGTATGAACGGGGGCAAGAACAAGCCGGTCGTTCTTTACGAAAGGGTTACTCTGTTTACATTGACGGTTCTTTTTCTTAAAAACGCCATGAACCTTTTAGCGTCTTTTTTCAGTGCTGTTCTGTACTCCGTGCCAATAATGAACAACAATACCTGTAAAACAATAAATTAATAAAAATGACCAAACCAGTTTGCTTCGTACATAGTACCAAGTCTTACCGGATTTACAGCGTAGGCTACAAGTTGCACTGTTTTCGCGTACAACGTTGACCGGAGATCCTTTGTCCACACGGCGATAAAATACGTTGTCAGGATGACGGGAGGAAGGACGGTCATGCAATACAGGATGAACGAGAAAAACAGCGCTTTGGCAGTGGCCAATCGTCGTTTCTTGGTTCGCCGTTGCGCGTCGTCCACCTGCACACTGCTCTTCCCCCCTAACCGTCGAAGTCCAAGCAAGCCAAATAAACTACCATAGGTTACTCCCATGATGGCTATAGGGATGTACGTCCCGAATATCGGCATCAGGTTGCTAACGATCCCTTTCTCAAAAACCCGTCCATAATGCCCAGATGCCTGTCTACCGTATACAATTGTCGGGTCAACATTGGCTGCGGGAAGGCTGACGAGGATAGACACGATCCACGCAAAGAGCAGGGCAGCAAATGTCACGCGCCGGGATGAGAATGCGGCATAACGGTGAGGCAGAATAATTGCAATGAAGCGGTTGAATGCTAGTGCCACCCACGTCCAGTTACTCAGGCAGATGTTGACAAAGAGAAAAAAATACACCGGTGCACAGTAATACGTGAAGGAGTAGTGCCGTTGCGTCAAATATACCGGCAATGTCGTAATAGGCATAGAAATCACGCAGAATACGAAGTCATTGCCAACGGAATGCAGAATCAATACGCCCGAACCACTTTTCCATTTCTTTAAGCGGTACATGATCACTACAAAGAAAATCATCACAACAGCGGCACAACCAGCAATGCTAAGCTGCACGCCAATCCAGATATTCATTTCGGTCGCGGAGAACGTCTCCCGCAGTAGAAATGAGCTGTTGGACGCGTTCCAGATGTTCAGAGTTTTGTTGCTCATTTTTCCTTTAGGGATATCTAAACAAATGCCTTGATATGTAAAACGATGGCTTCATATAAAAAGGAACAATTGTGTAGGAGCAGTTATGCAGGTATTAATTGTGTGCTGCGTTCATTACGTGAAGCCGCTCCTATTTGTGTTCCCGCTAACCATGAAGCCCATTTAAACGTTGTGAACTCCGTTGGTTGTTTGTTCATTCACCCATGTAGGTAGGCTCTTCCTATCCGCGCATGCAGTCATAGTAAGGGAATCGGACCTGACACAATAATTTTTCTGAAAATTATTATCATGAAGTTGCAGTGCTTCCAGGAACTTGGGAACAGGCAACCGTTTCAAGGTACTTAAATGTCACGAAATCAGTGTGTAGTTAATGAATATTTTTCATGTGCAGCATCCACACAGAAATTACGAACGGGATTTTATTTGTTCTTGAAACCGGAAAGGCTGGATCGCGTTCACATTATTTCGTTAAATTTAGCTAAGCGGTTTATGACCTTTTCGGCTCAGTGCACGATGTACGACTGCAATTATAAAATCTTATTACGGAATAGTGTCCTACTTTAGGATAAGGACGTTGTGATCAAGTGAGTTACGAGTAATATATGTCAATTATGGAAAAATGAGGACGAACGAGGCAAGAAAGTACGAGCATCAATTAGACAGATAATCCAGAAATTTGGAAACTGAGCATTTTAGATTCAAACAAAAAAAAGCACTCAAAACCGCAGAATAAAGACAAACTAAATCGTGCTCTCGATGATATTAGAGACTATTCTGTTTTTTAAACGTTTTACCAAGGTCGCCGACAGAGTACGAGATAGTGGAGATACTACGGGTATTTTTTGCCAAAATTTTATGACTGAAGGGTACCTGTACTGTAACACTGTCTTTCGTTTGTGTAAGTAGTCGCTTCCTCTTTCAGTTCTCCCGTTCCCTGTGGGCTGTACATGTACATTATACCTGTGCAGAAAAAGCACCCAGTATTGTACTTCACAGCTACCTTGGCCGTGGCCGTTTTTGGCAAGTTGAGCACGTTGCCGCATGCGTCGAAAAATACTTTTATTGATACTGGTATGGTATATGAAACGACTGATATCATTTTCCACCGGTGCAAAGCGGCACCCACTGCTGGTGCCAAAGTCGAGTACATAGATACAGATATGCTGTGCAGTTTTTAATCTTCCTTAAGAATCTCCTGTTCGCGGCTACAAACTGACTTATTAGTTATTACACAATCAAAATAACACAAGATGCGCAGAGATGTGTGATTATCGTAGCATAAGCTGTATACTGTAGTCTGTATACTGTATGTACAGGTAGAATTGCCTGCACATTTTGTTTATTGAATATTGATTAGCGCTCGCTTTTAGATGAGCTTTTAATAAAAAAGCTCATGATGCCGAAAAACATGGCGCAGCTTTTCTTCCTATCTGTTATTGCAGCGTCGTTGGTTTTTTATCCTTTTGCACACAGTTACAAAGAAGGCTGTGAAAACCGGTTCTTCCATTGCACTGGCCACGATTATTTTGGAAACACTTCATTAGCCGAAGTATTAGCTGCTCCATGGCCGATGACGGACGAATACATTAACACGCATCGTCCATTAGCCGAAACGTTCTGCCGGTATAGCTGATGCTGATTATTCAGTTTCATTAGTAGATAATTAGGTAGTCTGCTGTAATCGTGTCTGCCTGCTTCGAAACATACGATCGTGTTGCAGGGGAATCAACGAATCGGCACACTGCTTTCGTGGCTTGAATCAAGATTGTCCGGGTATTTTTGAACACCTTCAGCTCAATAAGGTGGGAAAAGGATGGTTCCATGCCGAGTTTCTCAGTGCAGCGGCTAAACTCTGTCAGCTGCCGCGTGGCTCTCTTCCGTTTACCCGCGCTATGGTGGACTGCAGCAAGAAAAGTTCGGGGTTTGGACAGAGAGTTTTGAACTTTGATTGGAACCATTACGAAGACATCTCTCCTAATGCTACCGCTGCACAGCATAATTTGTGCGAGTATGTTGTCTTGAACTGAATTGACCAACATACACATACATTTTAGTTTTAGCTCACTAAACGGTTTGTTTTTGAAATTTTGTATATTTTTAATTGATATCCTTCACTTTTCAAATTTTTATGTGGGTTTACAGTATGAAATATTGCATACCACCGATACTACTATTTTGTTTACGGTAAAAGCACGGTAGACGTTATTTCCATTGAAATATGCCTATAATAGCCGTACAGTTCTAGAAAAAGAAAATGAGGGTACACAAACAAATATTAATTGCTGCATAGTTAAAAACTCAATACTGCACGATAACAAATACATTAACCCAACATTTCTGATTTGTCCGTTCCAGGGTTTCTCAGTTGTTTATGGAGCGCTTGAATGGCACGGCGGCACGGACAGCGTTAGTGGAGAAATGTGGAGAGACATCAGTCGATGTACTTGTGGACGCGATGAAAGATATGCGCACTCTGCACTGCTTCAGTTAAATCCGGCGCATCATCTTTATGTTGCTTTCATATCACATGCCAGATGATGCCACCGAATGCCACCCACAAGTTTCTAATCACCCTCATTCGAAAAATTTTCAAAAGTTGTTTAAAGCGTTTGGCATACGCTATTATACGGCGGTTGGTCGTACACCGGTATGCTTAATCATACTAATGGCTTGAATCCTTAAGTCGTTTTGTAAGCGTTTACTTGGCTTATAACTGGAAACCAAAAATATGATTATCCTTTTAATTTTTAATGATTCAAGGAACTGCTGTTCATTAATGAGATATTGGGAATAAAATCACTAGAATATCATCATGTTCTGTCAGCTCTGACTGTAAATACCAGCCAACCATGAACAGAATAACGGGATGTTTACCAGACATGAAAAGGAAGTGTATAAGACTACACCTCGTACGAACCAGTATTATCGCTACGTACAAAGATCTGTGCTCCAGTTATATAGTCTCGGTGTACGATGTACCCCATTGACAACTGCGTCAGATAACTACGAGTACTTGTACTCTTTACGATGGTACCGGCGAAATTACTATGCCTACTTTTACCCGTCTTTTTCTTGCAAAAGAAAAACACTTTTTAAGATCTCCTTTCAGTACTATTCGGTATTCCGCGCCAATAGCGAACAACAAACAACACCTGAAACCAAAATAACTTCATATGTAATAGAAACAGTTTATTGCAGTTTATTAAACCACTTGTCTCTCAAATGCCTGCCTCCATCTCACCGATTTGCGGCGTATGCCAGTACTAGCTGTGCCGTTTTAGTGTGTAATGTTGACCAGAGATTCTCTGACCACACCGCGGTAAAATAAGTGGTGAGGATAGCGGGCGGAAGTACGCTCAAGCAGTAGAGTATAAATGCGAAGAATAGCGCCTTAGCAATAGATAATCGTCGTTTCCGGGTGCGCCGCTGCCCGTCATCCACTGCCACGTTGCTGTTTCGACCGAATCGTCGAAATCCGAGTAAGATGAACAGACTGCTGTACGTCACTCCCAGGATGACAATAGGAATGTATGTCCCGAATATTGGCATAAGGCTATAAACGATTCCCCTCCCTATGACCGTTCCACAATGACCTGATAGTAAACTACCATACAGTAAACCCGGGACAACATTCGTTGACGGAAGACTGACAAGGATGGACACGACCCAGACAAAGAGGAGGGCAGCACACGACCCGCGTCAGGTACAGAATAAGGCATAACGGTGAGGTAGAATACTAGAATGATGGCGACGAAGCGGTTGAATGCGAGTGCCACCCATGTCCAGTTGCCCAAGCAAATGTTGAGGAGGAGATAGAAATATGACGGCGAACAGTTATACGGAAATAAGAAATGCATTTGCGTCAAGTAGAATTAGTAGATCGGCAATGTAGTTGTCGGCACGGCAACCCGACAGAAAATGAGGTCGAGGCTGACAGAGTGGATGAGTAACATCCCAGACCCACTTTTCCATTTTTTAAGCCGAAAAATCATAGCCAAGAACAGAACCATAAGGCTGGCTGCAGCGCCAGCAATCATGAGCAATGGCAAATTGCATGCATATCCAGACGGTCAACTCCGCTGCGGAAACCGTTCCATGCCGCTGCGGTAATCGTTCCAGCGACAGAGAGCCGTTGGATATGTTGGCCGTGTTAAAACTTTTGCTACTAGTATTCATTTTTCTTTCATAATAGGCAGTGTGGTGCTATTGTTGGTTGTTCTGCAAATTGATAATTCCAGGATTTACGGGTGTGATCTTTCCCACGCCATATGCCGCTTTTCAGCAGATTCCAGCTATTGGTGCGAAAAACTGAAATTTGACTATAAATAATTAACGCTAGGAGCCATTCGATTGTTGTTTACTCCACGCAGCACAGACATCAGAAGTTGTCCGTTCTGAAGAATACAGCACGTGCAGTTCTGGGACTTACGAAACAAAACATTACGAATTATCACTGTGCATAGTAAATTCGGGCATCAGGTCTTTCTGTCATTTGCAACAACGTTATTTTTGGCGTTCGCAAAGGAATTTCGTAAAAAAAATAAGGCAAATCGCAGTAAGTTGACCTTGACTACCTGTTCTAGTTGGAGGTCATGCGGGATTAGTATAAAATTAGTGCAAGCCGCACGCTATAATCTGCGCTTCAAGCTTTGCTGTAATGTTTCCCGGAGCTGTGAAACATTTCTCATTTTTTAAAATCTTATGCTTAGACGCCTAATACCACTCACTGCCCTGCTATTTTTCTCATGAAATATGCACACCACGGATTGCGAATTGCGGACTCTCTTATGTGCAAGAAAACCGGACGGATCGGTCTCACGTTACCGTTATGTATAATACGCTCAATAAATATTGCTACAGTTCTTTATTTATTCGTTGCCTTCTTGTGCAGCAACAACGATTTCACTACAATTACAAATCACAAAAACAACCGAAATCGTTCACTTCAACAAATTTGTTTTGCCCGGCAACCGTCAAAAGTGCTATGCCCAAAAATGCAGCCATATTTCTCTTCATTCTCGCTAAATTAATGCGTTGTCTACGGAATGCGGTAAATCGGCGTTTTCCGGTTTTCAGTGAATTATGAGTTCAATGAAACTGACCATGTCTTTCCCGGCTTCTCCAAGAACCCCCATCGTTTCCATTGCGAACGGAAAAGAGACAGTGTTCTCCCAGGAAACGGTATTTCTAAGTTCTAACTCTTCCTGCTTTCCGTTTGACTGCTGCTACACCCGTTGCTTTGGCCATCCCTTTCAGTTTCAGGTAAGATTATACGCATTTTGCTGTGTGGTGCTGATTCAGTAGACCATGTGCGTTGGTTACTTGTATGGCCGACAAGTAAGGATCCATCTATACAAGTTACGTCATGACCGAACCCACAACGCGGCGATTCGCTGCCGCGCAAATTAGATGTATGTTTGGATGAGGGCGGAACCAAAAATCCATACACATAAGGGCCTTACGTGTATGGATGATAACTCCACCTCTTGCGCATTTTTGGACCTAGCATACATATCGTGCTGCTACGAAGCAGTAAGCACTTGTCCGTGTAGTAAATCCATGGGCAAAATGTCCGAAAATTACCGAGCTGCCCATTTCTGAAAACTTTATAGTTCTTTGTTATTTGATTGAATTAAAAAAATCAACAATTTACTTCCAATAATTTCATTTAGTGAAAATGTCTGCAAAAGAACCAATCTCAGCGGATACGCATATATTTTTTACCGACCCTAATAAACCCGGGCAAGTGTTTGCGATTAAGCGCAATCAAAATGCACCGGCGAACGGACAAAGTACATCTTTAGCAGAGGCCTATCGTAAATCCTACATGAAATCCTACCAGCCATCCACTGCTGGCACACAGTCGGAAAAGGAATCAGAGCCAGGTGCAGTACAAGCTCCAGTTCCATCTTATTCCACTGGACTTCCGGGAGATGTTGAAGTTGAAATGGAAGGTGATTACGACAATCCACAAAAGCCTGGAAAACCGGCTGAGCCTGGAGATCCGGCTAAAATTGAAGAATCGGGCGATGGAGAAGAGGCTCTCGGAACGCAAACCAGGTACAAACGCAAGCGAATTCCTGCAGACGAAAAAACCTTGAATAAGCTGAAAGCGGTGCTGGAAAAGAATCCATTCGACTATCCAGAAAAATCAGTGGAGCGAAGAGAAGCGTGGGTTTCAGCTGTAAAATTAGCCAACGGAGATGATAAAATCAACGTTAGAGAGACCGACATAAATGCCATCAAAGCTGTGGTGCAGCGACATTTGAAGACGTATAAATCCATCGATAACGAAGATCGCCCTACGGGAACGGAAAGAGACATCGAAGTCTTTGACGAATATATGCAGGTAAATCCTGACTGTTTTAGCTGTTTCATTCTGCATTTGTTTTAGTTTAAACACGTAGATGTGCTTGCCTTATGCAGCCGGATATCCAGGCTCATTTATGTTAATGTCGTAAAATTATATTTACTTATCGTTAACTAAGCAGCGTTCTCCCTTTTTTGTTAATTAAGTTTGTATTTATATTTTTCAGGATTTTTGTTGCGCTTTCACAGTTGAACTTCTGTGCGTAGTTTGCTTGACGTGTATATAATTGGCTAATTTACGTTTGACCAGGTCATGGAGCAAATTTCTAATTATAAAGAATCGGCACCTCTGGCTATTCGCAAACCTGAAAAGGCAAAAAAAGATGCTGCCATTGCCATACGTGCAAGGGCAACTAAGCTTGCAATGACAAGTGGAATGTCCGTGGAAAAGTTTGGCGACTTAATGGACAACGGATTAGGTGGCCATACAGACAGCTACGATGCAGATTTTGAGAATGGCGATTTAGTCGAACGCTGCGATGACATGCGATTTGACAGTACGTAATACTGAAAAATGCAAATTTTTTGAATTATTTACCCTGCTCGAGTCAACGGGTGTTTTTTTTGCTGTACTTATAAGACTCGTTACTGCTTTGCAGAGGACGAGTTATTGACAGTTGGTGAGGACGGTCAATTTGAATCATTTTCCACGCTGGATAAAAAAGCCAGGCTATCCGGCTCCGACGAAAAAAGCCTTTTGAAAAGTTCCAGCGAAGAAATTTCAGTCGCGAATGAAAGCTTTATGAAAGGCGCTATGGCTACTGCAAGAAAAGCCGGAAAGCCGGCTGGTGTTCAGACACCGAAAAAGTCACCTTTCAAAGGCATTAAAGAAGTTGCTGAAGCAGCGCGAAAAAAAGCAACCCACATTCGCGGTAGCAGACAGCAAATAGCTGCTTTGGCTGGTGGGCTGCAATCGGCAGTGGAAAAGATGTCTGACGGAGAACGCATTACTAGCGCTATGGAGCGGGAAGAGCGGGCCCTAGATCGTGCTGCGGAAAAAGAAAAAGCCGATGCTGATCGAGCGGAGCGGATTCAAAAGGACAAAGAAGACCGTGCGGAAAGAGAATTAATTCGACAACAGCAAATCGAAAAAGAGGAACGTGACAGAGCCGAAAGAGAAGCCGTTCGAAAATTGGAGCTTGAGCGGTTTAAAATTGAAATGGAACATCGCGAAAAAGAGCAAGAAAAACGATCGGATGAAGTCAAAACGTTAATTGGATTCATGGGCGATTTTCTTAAAAAATCTAAAACTACAAAAAAATCTCAGGCGTCTGAAAATGTTAAAATAGCTGAGTAAACATTTTATTTGTATTCAGAAAAATACTTGACAATAAAACGTTACAATCACCGCCGGCTATCCAGGCTTCAGCCGGTTATCCAGGCTTTCTTCGCTGTTCCTTTGTGCGAAGGTAATCCTCCAGTGATGGTGGAAGTACGAAATATTTTTGATAAATTAACTGAAACCCGTACAAGCAAGTCAAACAATTGGCAAGTATAGCAGAAACAAGATAGGTTTTCCCAGTCTGCTGCCAGAATAATTTGTTGTTTTCTCGGTAATTACTAAACGCAAACAATGAACAAATCCTTTGGAACCCCAATTCCACTGCTATTCGGCATCTGGACATTACCAGATTAAATCGCTCTTCCGCTGGTGTGATTCGCGGACCTTTATAAGGCACTTGTATTTCCTCAGAAAGGCAATACCCTTTATCGCCGAATAAGCAGTACGGCTTTCCCCATTCAAAATTTTTCACTTGCAATCGCTCACGTATTCTGGATTCACGAGCCATATATCCGTCATGTCGGCTACCTTCACAGGGTCCCCACATGTTTATGATGAGTCCATCCGGAGCAACAATACTTTGATATTTCATGACGTGACCGCGGCAGTGACCGGAATAGTACAATCGTTGCAAAAATCCTGGTCGACAGATAGGACGCGCGGTGCCGTCAATAAAACCCCAGCAGTTGCCTGCAATTTATAAAAATGTTTTCAAAATGTTATCTTCATGGTCACCCATGATCAGCCGGCTAACCAGGCTTAAACGTTACCGTAAATTCCTTCGCTTGCTCTTTTCACAGCGGCAGCGTAGACCGCTATGCGTTCTTTCGACAACCAGGGTTGGGTCAACGAGTTTAAAAGGTGGCCGTGCTTACTGTAAATGATGTTAATTGTCGCGTTGTAAATTCTTGATAACTGGCTTTTTTCACGACCGAGCAGCTCCATGCAATCTCCCCATCGATTTGGATAAGCAAGTCTTCTTAAGACGACAGCTAGGCCGAAGCGTCCGCTCACCTTCGAGTTGTTGCTGCAGTGGATGACACACGGTATCATAAGTGCACGGTACAGCCTTTCAAAATCATTGTAGCACTCTAGTCGAAAAAAATGCTTGAACTTGTCGTTTTCCATGGATCGCAAATCCAGCTCGTGTCTCACATAAAACTTCTCCAGTTCTTTTTCTTGACGATCCACGATAAACGCTGCTGCGGCATAAAGCAGTAAGAGCCAGGTTTTCCGGCTGTATTTTTGTCGTCCCTTAGTAATCAGAGCTCGGCGCCTTTGTTTCAAATTAAATCGCGAAGAAGTGTCACTCTTGCGCGCCATTTTGGCAAAACTTAGATAAGGTTAACAAAATAACTTAAAACCCTATATTAAACTGTTTGCTGGGAATAAATATGACTTTTTGTGTACGATTTTGTACCGCCGGCGATCTGCAGTTACGTAAACTTGATCAGTTTCAGAATTTAATCATTCCCAGAGTCACGTTGGTTACTTGGAACTTACTGTCGGCTTATCGTTGAGCTTTTCATCAAACAACACTCAATAAAAGAATCACTGCCAGTTACTAAACTTTCATGTAAATATGCGAGGAGGTAAACACAAAACCGCGTTAACAAAACACCACAGATTCCAGTGAGAAAAAAATAAAACAATCCAATCATTCCATGGCTTTTGCATTTGCAAACCTGTAATCAGGTGAATAGCCAGGTTATCCGGCTCGCTAACGTTCGGTAGAGCAGATTGGATTGATTATTTAAAATAATTACCTAGAAACGAATGTTTCGGTGGGCACGCAATTTTTCGGCCCAGACATCCTCCCACTGGCGATCTTCGCGACGGCGACGTTCCGCCCGCTCGCGGTCCTCGCGTCGATAGCGCTCTTCACGGGCGTTTCGCTCAGCGCGAATTTCGTCGTCGCGTAGGGCACGTATTTCTGCATCTTCCGCTTTGCGATCCTCTTCCATGCGGCGCACAGAGCGTTCTTTTTCCTGAAACAGCAGCAATCAATAAATAATTATAAAATGTTTTAAGTTTCAACTTTGCCTCTGCAGTATCGCCGGATATCCTGGCTGAATTGTGTGCTGAAATTAAGTATTACCTCCAAAGATTCCTTGAATTTTTTTGCTCGTTCCCCGTCACGTGGCTGAAATCGGCGACTGTTCCAACGGCGGCACTGACTGGTAGTGTGCCCCGGGTCTGGCTTTCGACAGTTGAAGCACACGTATTGGGTTTCTACAATAGGAAGAACTACGCCAAAAAGTCAGTAACTTCTGATAATTATGTACCTCGTTGCACAGCCGGATATCCTGGCTCAGCCGGAATGCCAGGCTTTGCGCGCTCACTCGGCGTCTCTTCCTCTTCGCTTTCTGCTCCAGCCGGAATAACATCGGCGCTCGCTGCAGCCATCCGCTTGAAAGCTGAGCCATACGTTTTTATCATATACGTAAGCGCGATACAGGCACAGGTTAAACCAAGTCTTACCTGATTCCACTTTTTTAAAAGCCTCTGCTTTGTTGTCGGACGTATTCCACTCCTGCATGAGTCTCGATATCTAAAAATCAAACTTTACAAAATCAACACAGTACAACGCAAAAGCAAGTGCAAAATTGAAAAGCAAGTATGTGCAAAGCATTGTACGATAACCGAAATCATTCATTTCGGAAACCAGTCATTTCGGACACTAGTCATTTCGGAATCCAGTCTTCGAAACACAGAAATATTTTTTGAATAAACTTACCCGTTGTGTCTCCCGAAACGCTGGCCGTATCAGAGCGTACGGACAAACGCGACACGCTGCGTGGAATAAACACCATTTTGAATCCGCCGACCAAAGCTCGGTTCTTCGCTGATCACACAGTTCAGATTGCACCTGACTGACACACTTTAGAAATAAAAGGTGCAGAACTATTCCACAAACTAAACTTTATCAGAAGCTACAGAATTGATCTGATCTACAATCAGGTGTGAACATCAAGAACCTAGTGCTTCAAATGACACTAAAAAATGTGACAATTAAAATTTAAATTCGATAAATTTTCAACATCGACTGGCAGTCGGATAGGTTACTTGTATGTGTATATGCGAAGTAGCTTGCCATGCCGCACACCAGCGCGTTCGAACACGTTCCGACCCATACATACAAGCCAGTTTTCAGGCGGTTCTAACGTTAGTTATATGTATGCATGCGTAATTTGTACACATACAAGTTGCAGCGCTAATGCACTAGTAACTTTAACGGTCCGCGCATTATGGTTGATTAAACCATACACGGAAGGCCAATGGTGTGGGAATTTCGCTTGAGAGTTGTGACTGAAAGTGAACGCACATACGTACAAACTGGAAACTGGTATAATGCGCAAGCGGGCAATCCGCCAATCTCTTATGTCGACTTATTAATGTAGCGGATGCGAAAACTCAGGGCGTGCTGCTGGCGATAAATGTTTTTGATGCTGTCGGCGAAAATTAAAAATTCATGACGTCACTGAACGATTATGATTGGCTGGCTGGCCTTTTCGTCCCGTTTGGAAACTTGCCGTGCTCGGCAGCATGGCTCTGGCAGGCAGCTTGCGATGTTGCCAAAATCTTTAAATTTTGGCAACATCGTTTTGGGGTGTGGGGGGGAAGCTGGGGGTTGTTGCCGAATATGTCCGAAATTCAGATTATGTTTGTGTCATTGCTCACCTACCTTCGTCTTGCAATTACGAATAATGCCGTTTGAATTTACAACTTTTACCGTGCAGATTCCTTTTGCTTTTCTCGTACGCACATGTCTTTTTTTGTAATTTCCTGCTTTTACAAAATTGAAGCTGCTTTTGATAAGCTGGGCGGATACTGAATTAACGCTGCAACTTAAAATTGCCGCAGACAGCAGCTTGTTTTTGCATTCCCGTCATTCGACAGAGGTACCACTCACTGCGCTGCTACCGTTCTCGTGAAATATGCACACCGAGGGTTGCAAATTAGGCAAGAAAATAAGACTGACCGGACCCACGTCATCATTATATATTAAATTTCCATTAAATTTTGACGGTTGATGTATTAATATTATACTTACCAATTTGATTTCAACCATACACGGGAGGCGAACCGTGTGGGAATTTCGCTTGTGGCCGAAACTTTTAGCACAGACATACAGATACTTACAATGCGCAAGTGGGCTATACGACTGTCGCGTTTCGGCTGTTCTGTATGGTTCGCCATTCGCCAAGCCCTGGAGCCCACATTCTGACCTGTCACAGCGATCGCCGATCTCGTATCGATGCGTAAAATGCCATACGTTTTTAAGTTTTTTCACAATCGTGCCATGCTATGCCGTCGTTTTTCATAATAATTATTTTCATTGGTACGATAGCAACAATTTCTTTTTTGTTGTGTCTTGATTTCTCGCAGATTCTTCCGTATGCTGATAGTGTGGACTATTCTACACCATGAACGCGACAACTCTGTACCATCGTAAGTTGTTTTCGGGCTCCCGTGAGCTAAACTACGGGAATACCGTGCTGGTGCAGCGTGATAACGGGCAATGGTGGTTGGGGTACGTACAGGACCTGGATGGGCCTTACTTGTACATCGACTTTGATGCCAACAGCATCAGTGCCCAGTGGATTCATTCCAGCCATCTTTGGCCGCACCGTTTTCGTTATCCGTTATCTCCGCCAACTGATGCGGGTTCTTCGATTCAGGTTGCGCTGCGGCGAACCCCTGCTGATCCGAGAGTGTTCTGGCCGGGTACCATCGTGGACCAGAAGGCCTGGCCATTCTACGTTGTGCGTCTGCAGGGTGACAGTTCTGATGGGATGAACCCACAGTTTATGGTACATCGAAACCACTGCGTCAAACGGTTGCCGATGCCGTATGATGGGGAAAATTTCTTCGAACGAACCACAGGGTTCGTGTACAGGAAACACGTCATCAGCTTTCCCAGAGCGCAAATGTTGCTAGACGTAGATTTTATCCCGACGTTTTTAGCCCGCACATGCCGATTGATAGTGGACAGCACTGATGTATATTATGTGGGTCATGTTGACTGTCGCTTCGTCCGAAACATGTCGGTGGACCAGATGCATTTTGTTTGTAATTCTCCCGGACATCCGCATGGGGTTTATTTCGTCGATATCGGTTGTCGAGTATTCGTGCGAGTAGAATCGGATACCATCATTTTCATATGTGCCGAAGTGCTTCCTAGTGCGCACAGTAGCGGCATATTCTGGGACGAAGACTCGTTGAAAAAATCGTGCGACGACTATCTTACGGAGAACCTAAAAGTAAAGCCACTGACCGACGCGACTCCGTGGAGCGCGCTCCAGCTGGCAGTATAACTTTAGCACAAGAATCGGGTGACAAGGTTTTCACATAGTACTTCCATCTTGCATTTCTTATGTTGCGTGATACGTGCATTTTGCAGATTTTGAAGAAATGTCCATCGTCGAACTGCCGCATTCTATTTTGGCTTCTGTTCTGCGTTATCTGGATGTGGATTCGCAGTTACGCACGAGCAGGCAAGTTACGGTGGTTTTTATTTTTATGAAACGGCATCTATGCGCACTAACGTACATACAGTATGGTATACCTTCTTGGATGTTTCAGTATTGAAATCTTTATACATTAAAGAAGCTAAGCAGAATGCGGTTAGCGTTGCGTCATAAACATAGGTGGTAGTACTCTGTATATCAGAATTGCTCGTTTCATCGATGGTGCACAACCAGTCGCGCCGTGAAGAAAACATGGTACTGTTCGGCTTTCCGGCTTTGTCAATTGATGTTTTGTTTGTGGTGCGCTGGACCATGTTATCTCTACCCGCACGCACACGCTGGCACTCACTGAGGACGGGAAGCATTTTCAGGATGGCTTCGATCTCGCCACAAGAATGGGAATGATCAGAACCACACTTGTCCGCAAAGACGTCCGTTTGCCCATAATCATGGTGAAGAACGCTCGGGATGGCATTACTGACGAATTTCTAACCATTGGCCGTGATGCTCTTAATCGAACATGGGAATGCCACGGTTTATCGGAGTTTATGGAGGTGTGTGAGCAGTTTATGCTGGTCAACTTCACGGCGACTCTGTTATTCTCCAAAGCCGCGCGATTGATACTAAATTCTGTACCGGGTTTGCCGGACTCTGAAAGAGCGCTGATACGCAGGTGTCTGGTTGAAGTTCAACTAACCATTCCCTGTCTTAGCTTTCGCTCCGTGGATGCGCCCGCTGAGCAGACCCGCATTCTTCTAGCAGCGGCGAACGACCACTGCCCGGTCGTCAGTCCGAGTGTGCACGAAAAGGTCACAGCGATGCATGCGCGCTGGGTTCGAACGTTGAACTATCCGGAACAGTGGACCGGAATTCGGGTTTTTCTACAACTGTAAGTGACGTAATATCTGCCAGAAACTCTGTAATTAACCGTCAACTACAGGTACTTTTTGTTTGGTATACTGAAATATGCGACGAAACCTTATGTATCCACTATCCAGGTTCAATTCTTTTCATCTTGATGACACTTCACAGCGATGGAATCAGATGGATCTTCGCAAACTGGACATTGCTGTTTTGACCCGTATTACCTTCGCAGCACTGGATGGCTGCTTTGAGGACTGAAGCACGCTTTGCAGACATGGTTTCTGGATAGTTTCATTGCAGTGGTCATATGGTTCAATGGGACTGTGTTTTCTTTTTGCGCACCGCGGCGGTGCTGACTACGATAAATTACAGTAGGACAGTCGTATCAATAGTTTTTTGTTTATTGCAACGGTATTTGAGTGCAAACGGTTTAGTTACTACACTTTTACGGAAATAATAATTATTCGTTTGCGTGTTGCATCTGCTGAAGCATATACAGAGTAGCTCGATGCTAATTATTGTGCCAGATTTCATTAAAATAATTCAATCTTTAGATGGTTGTCCATTTAATCTTACTAGGCTGAGCTCTACTAATGGGTAAAACATTAAGCAGTTCGCAGTCATGGAGCAGCTCCAGACAACACTTTCTGATTTCCCTGTAAAAGTTGAATAGCTAAAAACACTAAAGGAAGTGTGTGTGTGTGTGTGTGTGAATTATGTAGGTGTTAGTTTGTCAACATTATGTGGGTGTTAGTTTGTCAACATTCACGCAATAAAGTAAAATGGTGCTTCAGGCAGAGTAGAGATTGAGAAGACACAGCTTTGGCACAAAAAATCCAGATTTTGGCATTAGTTGGAAGTTGTGATACGAGCTTGGTGAGACAAGTCGCCAGCAGTCCTTTGCGATGGAATGACCTTGCTCCTTTTGACCGTTCTTTTTCGTAAAAAAGCAAAGCATTTTTCAACGTCTGTTTTCAGTGCTGCTCTGTACTCCGTCCCAACAATGAAGAGTATCACCTACAAAAATTGACATAAATACAGTGATCAGACCAATAAATGTCATTTCAATTCTGACCGGATTCGCAGCGTAGGCCACTAATTGCACTGTTCTCGAGTACATCGATGACCGGATATCCTTGGACCATACCGTGGTAAAATACGTAGACAATAAAACTGGAGCAGGTATGGTCATGCAGTTCAGGATGAACGACAAAAATAGTGCTTTGACAGTGGCCAGTCGTCGTTTCCGGGTTCGCCGCTCCAACCCATCCATCTGCAAATTGGTATTCCAGCCTAATCGTTGAAATCCAAGCAAGGCGTACAAACTTCCGTATGTAAAGCCCGCGATGGCAACAGGAATGTAACTCCCGAATACCACCATCACGTCAGCAATGATTCCCTTCCCTGAAACTCTTCCACAATGGCCAATTGATGGGTGTCTGCCATACACTAAACCCGGGACAACGTTGGTCGATGAAAGCATTACGACGATAGACAGAACCCAGGCAAAGAGCAGCGCAGCAAACGATATCTGCCGGGAAGAGAATGCAGCATAACGATGAGGCAGAATGATAGCGATGAAGCGGTTTAGTGCGAGTACTGCCCACGTCCAGTTGCTTATACCCATGTTGACCAGGACAAAGAAATATACCGGTGAACATTGATAAGAGAATGCAATGCGCATTTGCGTTAAATAAACCGGCAGTGTGGTTGTAGGCGTGGCAACCAGACAGTAGAGGAGGTCGAGGCTGACAGAGTGGAGGATTAATATCCCGGAACCACTTTTCCATTTTTTCAGTCGGCACATCGTTAATAATAGCAAAATCATGAGACTGGATGCAATCCCAGCAGTGCCAAATTGCACAGACATCCAGATAGTCAGTTCCGTTGCGGAAACCATTCCAGGCAGCGACATGGAGCCGTGGGATATATTGGTTATGTTAAAACTTTTGCTGCTCATTTTTCCCGTCCTTATAGACACTGGATGAGGGTGCAGCTACTATTCTGCAAATTGATAACGCCGGGGTTGACGGGTACTGTAAACTTTCCCCGGGTTGCCGCTTCTCACCGGATCAGGATTCCAGCTTCATGGCAACAAGTGAGTTGTTTTAAACGCCAGGAGTCATTCGAATGTTGGTTGGTTCACCGTGATTTGGAGTATCATTACATAAAAGCGGCACGCATAGAAGAATAGATATCAGACGTTGTCCGTTCTGTGACTTCTGTCTAACACCAAGCGAGTAAAGATTTAAAGGACCTTTAAGTGAATTATCTTATAAAATGCAAGAATTATTATATAAATTTTTTCACATATTTGTATTCCGTGTGAGTTTAATAAAAATGGTATACCAACGTGTATTAACGTAAGATCAAAAGTCGATCCACATCTACATACGAAACTATTCGTATTATTGTGCAGAATATATAAATCCAGACATAAAGTGTTTCTGTAGCTTGTAATACTACATGTAATTTCTGATTCTCACGAAGCAAACGTTGTTATAGAAAATCAGGCAAACTGCAGTATCGCAAGTCAGTCGATCTTGGTCCTCAGCTCTACCCTAGGTTGTGGTCCTACGCAGTTAGTATAGAAGTACAGAGTATACATAATATAAGCCACAAAATGTATTTTGCACCGCAAGCAATAATGCCCCGAGCTGTGAAACATTCCGCATTTAAAAATTTAGGCTTGTTTTGGCAAGGTGTCAGAGCAACGGATGGTATGGGCTAAGAAATCTTATATAAGAACATGTAAACAGGATGGGTCGGGCCCACGGTACCATTGTGTATCAAATTTTCATTAGTGTTCTGTTTTGGGTTGATCAAGAAGATCTATGTAGGGATGGTTTGTGCGATATTTGATTAAACCATAGACGGAATTAAAGTCGATGGTGACGTGTACGTGTGGGAGTTGGGACTTCGTTTTTGGCTGACAGGCTTTTGCATGCACGCCTATTGCACACACAACACGAGTGGCCGGAACTGCTCGACTTCGGTTCGTTCACAAACCGATCAATTCCACTGTCCGATTCGATCACCTGCGCACAAGGTGTTAGATCATTTGGAAAAGTAACACTTTTGAATCATTGAAAGTATTGTCTTCAAGGTTTTTCTATTATGTGGATGGGCTATAGCCAAAATTTAACAAATAAATGGATATGTAACGCGCGGCTTTGGGGCCTGCGATCAGTTAGCTTGCAGACTGATTTATCGACCCCCAAAGGAGCGCAAAAGTTTTAACGAGCTCTTGCTGTTGTAATGTTTAGTTTTTTGCTAGTTTTGTCGCCCAGATAGTGTGTTACATACCTCCATGACCACTGTCATGTACTCCAGGGTTTCTTGAAAGTAGAAATGCAGAAAGAAGTTTTGTCTCAGTTGATACTTGGTAGGTATGTTTTTGATGCAGAACACTTGAAATTCTAAAGCACAGACCCAAAACATTGCAACGTCGAGGTATAGAATCAAACAGTACTACAAAGGAATGTCTAACATGTAAGTCGCAGGGTACAGGCGAAAGCGTATGCGCAAGGCAAAAAATTTTACAGGTTCAAGTTGCAGTGTTACGTTACAGTTGCTAATTTTCGACACTTTTGGGTAGTTTTGTGCCGGCTTTTAAGAAATGTTTATAAGTACGTATTAATACAGCTTATAATAATTATTGTCACGCAGCATAATAAAGTTGTCACGACTTGAGCGTCGTGCTCTTTAAATAAATTGCAACTAAAATGCTAAATACAAAAACGTAATGAAATCTAACATCGGTCACTAGTACGACATTGTCATACGTTGCCATGCGTCACAAAGGTGCCCTTTCGAGAACCACTATGCTTGTCCTCGTTATAAGGCAATACAGCCAACACCAGTGCCCTGTGCATTGAGTTATTGCAATTCAAGAGAAGGATATGGGTGAGATTTTGATAAAATTAATCTTTCTTTTCGAAAATATTGCTCAAAGCTCAAGTTGGACTTTGCGTTTATAAGAAATATCCAGTCGAGAGACTCAAGCCACATAGCGATCGAATACTGCAGTAATTTAAAAACATACGCAAACCAGGAAAATATTTCCAGTTCCCTCCACGACGGGGAGAATTGTAGACGATATTAATTTTGTGCAAACGGTCAACCTATAGAATATCTGGTATCTTTCTATAAGCATTCCTTTCCCAGGCGATTATTTTTATCATGTTGCTAAATGTTCGCAACTGGTTAAAGACTTGGAGGCCAGTTTGTGGTGTGACGGCTTGTGTTATTTATATCAATGCTCCAAAATCAGCTGCAAACTGTTTATAAAACGGGTTGGGTCGATGATCTGTTGAACTGGTGGGTCTAGACGATCTAGAATTATTAATTTTTGTAGGCCTCCAGATAGTCACAGTCAAACCATTTTTGATATTTAGAGGGTTGTTTGGTCGTACTTTTACCAAATTATATAAACATCTCATTGTAAGTACCAGTTAGCGGAGCGGTTATTCTTGTAAGCCAATAACTACACCAGCGGATTTGCATCTGGGGAATGTTACGAATAGTCTTTTATGCCAGATTGCGACATATGCCGCTGTGACCATCGGACAGGTATTTAGATTGCTGGAATTGTGTCTTGGTCGTAAGTGCCATATTCCTGTTGCTGCAAATATTTGCAGTCAAGGCTGACCGACTGCCAGTTGTTTTCATTTTTCTGCCCTTAAAATGCGTAATTAGGAGCCTTGATTCTTTAAAATTTTAGCGGCTGTTGCAAACGGTTTTCTTGCTGTACTCGTTCTCTTTGCGCTGTCTTTCTCACTAAATCAAAAGAATTCTTTTTTCTGGCCTTTGGACCTAGTCACCTAGTAAAGCAAACGCGCACAGCTTTTAGTGCCTTTGTCACAACAATGGTGTGACGAGTTCTTTTACCTGTGTGTGACTTACAGTGTTGTGTGTATATGAGCCCTAATGAAAGGTCAACGATGACCATTATCAATATCAATTACAAACGAACCAAAACAACCAGGTGTGTATGACCTTTTATTAATCAATGACCATTGCCCACTACAGTATATTATAAGCTAGCTATTCAGTAGACTGAAAACAACTCGAATGAGTACTGGACTGAATTGAATGCCTTTGATAGGCTCTTTATATATGGATCGGGACCGGTTGGGATGTGATCGTGAGTCATCCCTATGATGTCATTATGACGTAACAATGAGTAATTATGACGCAGTTATGACTGCATTGTCCTTGGCGTTTGACCTTGACGGGCACGTGGCGGCCTCATGTATGTGAGTCATCGTGACAATCCTCCTCTTTGAAATTCGCCGTCTCTGGCGAACAAAACGGGATTTGAGAATGGCTTTGAAGATTTAACAAATAGACTAGAAAAATACGGTTACTATACGACATATAAAAAGAGATTAAGAGAGATTGCAGTGGGCTCAATAAAACTAGTTTGAAATGTTAATTAAAGAATAATAGGTTAGAAAATAGATAAACAGAATTCAAACATAACTCCATAATAATACAAATTATTATTTTTATTCCGCAATTCTTTAGGTTATCCGTACAATCCATTCATTCCGATCGTGGCAATGGGGTGGTTTGCAGAAATATTATGGTAAAAGTAAAGTTAACAAACACATACAAACAATGCTCACACGATAAAAATTGCGCTGTTACAAAAACAAAACACAAAGAAGACTTAGATACAAAAAACATAACAATTAAAATATTCCTATCAAAAGATTGCGAATTTTAAGTCATCATGGCAGACCAGTAATTCAAGAAAGATAAGTTCTGAAAACCGAGCTGCAAGTTTGCCATATAAAAATAAAAACAGATAAGGTATATGCTCATCAATATATAGAAGCTTCTCAACCATCGCTCTTTCCACGAATACAATACACTATTTCAAATCCAAATATTGTACAGTTGTCATAAATAACAAAAATAAATACAGAAAATAAATTTTCGAATTCCCAAGATCATTACAAAACAACAGTGAAGACGTATATACATACGTCTTTTACAAAATAAACTGAAGCTCAAAACTTTTCTTACTATACGGTACGAATATACTAACAATTATTGCTTTTCGTTCTACGGTGCATTTTATAATATATTTTCTGCTTCGTTCACTATTTCGAAATATTTTTTTTTACTATGGGGTACGGACTTTTGCCTGCGACACTTTTTGATATGACTGATCGATGCCGAATTCAAGATGATAGACGTTGTGCATTGGCCTTTCTGTATCGCAATGATAACAGCTTGCTTCACGATCATTTGATTGTTCCAGTTCACGTTCTGTTTGGGTATAGTTGTTTCTTGTTCTTCTGTTGGCCGGATCAAATGGAAACTCCACGTTCAGAATTTTGTTCATCGTTTCTAAAAGGTCGTCAATTTTTTTCGCCATTGCATCGGTTTGCGGGGAACACTTCTTGGCTACATTTGCAAATGGCAGGCTTAAAGTTACTGCTGGTGATTCCAAATTTTGTTCTCGGGTTCTGTATTTTACGGGATACAAATCTTCGGCCACTTGGAGAATGTTTTCCGGTGTCTTCTTGCCCATGATGCGTAACTGCATCGCTGTTTGCTTGTCCTTCATTCCTTTTAAAATGAAATATCCTATTTCTGTTTGATCCATATTTGCGTCGGCATGTTTGCATAAATCCAGGATGGAAAAGTAATACGTCCGAAAGTCCTCATCGTTTCCTTGTTGCCTCGATATCAACATATCGATGGCTTGCTCTGGTGTGCCGACTTTTCCAAAAGTTTTAAGAAATTCTGTTTCTACTGCATCCCATTCGGCTGCACCATTAGGTGGACGATTTTTGATCCATTTTCTTGCGGTACCGGCTAAAACTTCAGGAAATCTTCTTGCTTTTGTGGCGTCGTCCCACGCATACGACTCGGCACATCTAAGGTAAGATTCTAGCCAAGTTTCCGCGTCCTGGTGTGGAGCGGCTGAGAACGGAGGGGGCAATTTAATCTTCGGTCCCTCTGCCATTCTTTGTAGTTCTTCCTGACCGTTGAAATCGTCGTCTTCCACTTTATTTTGAATTAAAGATAAATTTTCGTAGTCTAAATCCTCCTCTTTATCCTTCAACTTATTCTCTTCAAGATTTTCTGTTTCTGATTCTTCCTCACCTACGTCCTCTATGAACACAGTCTCGTGTAAATTCTCCTCCTTTTCTTCTACTTTTATAAGGTCCTCGCTAGATTTTCGTTCCAGATTTTCTTCAAGGCTTGTGTCTGGGGAGACTTTTGGGGTTTTTATCCTATCTGAAGGTCTTTTGACTTCCGGAATGTTTCTTTTCCTCTCTAAATTACTGTTGCCTCCAGGATTCCAGTATTTACTATTAATCTGTTCCTCTGGTACTAATGGGGGTGGGAGGTTTCGTAGTCTGTTTGAAACGCGCTCGGCAACTGCGCTATGTTTTAAAACACTACGCTGTTCTTGCGGTTTTTTAGGCGCCAGTTTGGTTCATAATCGATAAAACAATTTTGCAATTTTTTCGTAAAATATTATTGTAATGACCTAATTCATACCAGCATAGTTAAACAGTTATTTTTTCCGTTAGCAATATCAGTAATATTAAGGTAAAACGGAATTCTTCCATTTTATGCTTTGCTCGCTTGCATCGATCACGGTTACGACGTTCTATACTAGTGTGGCTAAGCGGTCGCTCCAGCGAACCCGTATAATACGACTATGCGGTGACTCGCACAGTGTCAGGGTTTACGCATCAGTGGAATCATATAAGCACTGATTATTGGTGTCAACAAATCGTGAACGTAATGAGTAAACTGCTTTTTTGTTTTATCCAAGTAACACCAATCACAAGAAATATCGTTTCAAAGAATGAACACTTATAAATCAAAGTGCTAATTTTTTCGGAATTTTTAACTTATTTCACTTCATCAATTCGTTTTTTATTTATTCCGTTCAGATAGATTTATAGTCTTCTTTTCACTAAATTTTACATGCTTAGTAATACCTTAAAACAAACTAAATTTTACAATAAGATCAAATGGAAACTATTAAAATAATTCAAATATTTCACACTTTACCACGGGCTCAATTAAAATCATCTTTACCACGGGCTCAAATCAAAATCATACGACTATCTGTATGCGGCTGCGCTATTACGGACCAGGTAACAACAACAGACAGATACCTGTGTCGTCTGCGACTATCTGTAATGAAAGTGACCTATGGTCAAAAGGACCACTTTACAATACCTGTGCCGCAAGTGGGCTTGCATTAAAAATTTCCTCGAGGACAAATCCAGAACTTATACAAAATTCATTTAATAATTGTGCACTTAATAAATTTCCCAGCAATCCAGTACAATAATCCAATATAAATCAATAACATATAACTTCAATCCATTCAAAGGTCACACTAACAGGTTCATCCTTCACGCCAATTTGTCACAACAATGGTGTGACGAGTTCTTTTACCTGTGTGTGACTTACAGTGTTGTGTGTATATGAGCCCTAATGAAAGGTCAACGATGACCATTACCAATATCAATTACAAACGAACCAAAACAACCAGGTGTGTATGACCTTTTATTAATCAATGACCATTGCCCACTACAGTATATTATAAGCTAGCTATTCAGTAGACTGAAAACAACTCGAATGAGTACTGGACTGAATTGAATGCCTTTGATAGGCTCTTTATATATGGATCGGGACCGGTTGGGATGTGATCGTGAGTCATCCCTATGATGTCATTATGACGTAACAATGAGTAATTATGACGCAGTTATGACTGCATTGTCCTTGGCGTTTGACCTTGACGGGCACGTGGCGGCCTCATGTATGTGAGTCATCGTGACACCTTATACTATGCTAACATTGATTAATTGCGATTCACCTGCGATAACTAATTCTGGAGCAGACGGCTTTTCCAAATCTGCAAAAAAAATACAGCCTTTACTTGCGATTGAAACCATACTTCTAACTTCAGAAGGCGCGCAAGTCTGCATCTTTTTACTCGTACATCATTCAAATGGTCTTATAGTTGCAAGTGGGGAGAAGCCAATATACGATCATATGCTTATGTCACTTATGTCATTCGAAATAAATTCAATTAAAGCTTAAGTTTAAGTTTCCCTGGCTGACCAAAAACCCGCTACCTATCTAACATACAGTACATTTAACGATTAGATGTAATTTTCAAAAGTTTTCATTTTATAATACTGAAAAGAAACTCGGGAAAAAAGGAAAGTCAGGGAAACTTATTCATAGCAACGTTAAACTGGCCTCTTCCGTATGCAACTGTACAATGTGATATTACATAGATTAATTACATTCATCGCAATAAAGGTAAAATGTAACGGTACAGTCATTCACCAACAACACCAATCTGGGGCAAAAACGGCATCGTTTGCGACCGTGCCGAGGTCGACCGGCAAAACAGAACGGCTCAGCGAGTACTGACAGTGAACAGTTGATCAAGAGAAGGAACGGTCCAATCTTTGCTAGACTTATTTAAAAAGATAACATAGCTGCAGTTAATCGAAACTTTAGCCAGGTTAGAAAACAGAGATTTAGTCTCGATCACTTTCGAAGGAGCTCGCATCAGTGTCGCCATACTAAGGATATTGTGTATGGCTTGGCGGGCTATCATCCCTCGTGATCCAACGGCTAGGTGGTAGTAGTCGGTGTGCCAGCCTTCACCCGTAAGTTCGTTTACGAGGGACGCGTAACGAGTTCGCTTTCTGGCTTCCGCATTGTTAAACCCGTTGATCGTATCAAACGGTACAGTCACCTCTGCCAAAATAATGCGCTTCTCCGCGCGGTTAATGCAACACAAGTCCGGACACAGAGAGGTAGAAAGAACATTAACAGGAATTGTGCTAGTGTGGTTATCGTAGCTAGACTGATTTAGATCAGAAAGAATTTCCCATTTTCTATGATCAGCCACACCGGTCATGAAATCGTAAACAGCTTTCAGAATGCTATTATGACGCCAGGTGTAACGATGGCTATTAAGTGAAATCGGACAGCAATTAAGAATATGACAAAGAGAGCCTTTAGTCGCTCCACACAAATCACATGCAGCAGATACGGTCTTGCCCCACTTTAATAGATTAGTGAACGAAGGAGAAATGTTAAGCGCAGCCTCTATCATAAAGCGAATCACCTTCTCAGGGAGATCAAACAAACAGCTTTTCCAAAAAGTATCGGCAATTTGTGCCTTTACAACTTCCCTCCACGCTCCCTGCTGTACCAGTGATTGTAGCCGGTCTTCTTTCAGCGCTGACGCGTGCTGACTCACTTTCTTATTAACGACCTTACGAATTGCCGCTTTGCTAGCTCCACATTGTCTGCCGGCAGCGACAGAGGACTGGACAATGTCCACAATTGCAGGCTCATTAGCACATGCCGCCTGTATATTCTCACTGGCCAGATGCACAACAACATCGTCAGAAGAGCAAAGAGCATCGGCAATAAAACCAGCGTGCGCTTGGGCATACACAGACTTTAGAGACTTAAGATCACATCCATCAGAAACATAGAAAAAATCGCAATTAGCAGACGGATTTACCTTTATCCATCTTTTCAAATATCTATTGACCGTCGATTCCAGGGCATTAACTGTAGGCGGTGACAAATCGTGCATGGCGAGTACAAACCGCATACACGAAACAACATAACATTTATAAATTTTCACTTTAAACGCACTCCGTAAGTTAAGATTATCCACACGCGTTAATAAAGAATCAAGCGATTTAATAACTAAATTACCACTGTTAGCCCGCTGGTTTTTATTAAAAACATGAACACCTAGAAATTTCATTGGGTCAGAACTAATATCCTCGATTTTTTCCCCGTTAATCGCAAAGTCGGTTGCAACAGAAACGCCTCTGGAAAGTGAAAAACACCGACATTTAGCCGGCTGCAGCTTAAAGCCAATCCAGTTCATACGGTTGTTCACATCACGCAGTAGTCGGCTCATACTCGTTTTATTATTCGTAATTAAAGTAAGGTCATCCGCAAAAGCTAAATCCACGATTTTTTCATTTGGCAACGAATCAAAAGCAACGCCACATTTTTTATTTTCTTTCAAAAATTCCAAAATCGCGTTAAAAACAACCAAGAACAAAGCGCAACTCATTGTATCGCCTTGAAAAACACCAATGTTAAACGGTATATTTTTAGAAAATGACTCATTATGAAAACTTTTAATCGTTAACCCAGTATAATAATTGTCAATATAATTAATTATATAATCTGGAATATTGTACCGGCGCAACGCAGCTAGCAAAACCTCTTTTCTGACCGACCCGTACGCATTAGCGACATCCAACCATGCAACGTGCATAGTGCATCCTTTTGTGCGCTGCTGTTCAATCAATTTCAACAATTTAAGAGAATGTTCGCCGCATCCGTTCGTTGCTTCGATAAATCCCTTCTGTACACTGGTATCAATAATGCCGTTTTTAATACAATACGACATTATCCGCTTAGATATTACAGAGTGAAAAAGCTTGCCAATACAACTGGTAAGAGTTATTGGTCGATAATTAGCTGGAGAGGAAAAATCACCTTTTTTGAACAAAAGAACTGTCTTACCTGTCTTCCAAGAGCTGCACGCAATACCGGATTTCAAAATCCTGTTAAACATATTAGCTAAAAAGGCATGCACAACCGGGTATTGTTTCAAAAACGAATAATTAATGCCGTCTAACCCGGATCCAGCAGTGGAATCTTTCTGTGACAGGATCGTTTTAATGTCACACGGCAAAATTTCAGATATATCAAAATCGGAATTAATTTCTTTTTGTTTAAGCTTGTTTATCCAGGCAAGATTAAGCGGGTCAAGATTTTTAGGATTACAAACACTTTCAAAATAATTTTCAATATCACACATTTTAAGAGCGTCCGCAGGAGCGTTGCATCCGGCCTTTAATTTGGCATCGATAAAATTCCACATTTTTTTGTTAAACCAACTATCGTTTTCTTTACGTTCGGCTGTTAAATGAAGCTGAGAAATTTTTGCCGACAGGGTTTTTCTAATAGCTTTTAAGCTACGCAGACGTTCGGCATAATCAACTAAAACTTCCCTATGACTAGCCCTCTTCCTACGCTGATTTCTTTTAAGCTTATTAATCTCCGACGATACCATTTCCCTTTCCCTAATTAAAGCTGCCGGAATCGCATTTCTGGTATTCTTACTAAAATATTTTCCTTTAGACTGCTGGCACTGTAGAATTGTTAACGCATACTGAGATATACCCCATGGTAAAATTTCCAAAATTTCATGCGGAGCCCAAATTCCAAGATCACATGCAGACTGAAGTTGATTACAGAAATCGTTAAGGAAAGATTGGTAGCGAACCGGTGCGGACTGGTGAAGTTTAGACATATTAGGTGGAAGAATTTTTGAGCGAGAAGTATTAGTAGAAATAATTAAATTAATATCAATTTTAGCGGAACCGTAGATCACGTCCTGTACATACTGCTTAAGCCGTTCTTCTTGCCGGGTTGGAAAAGGTGCGGTCCGAAAGGAATCGCCCATGGTGGCAAATATTAATCAGGGTGTTGTTGTTGGTGACAAAAATAAGGGTTCCGTAACTATATGGACTGGAATACGGCAATTTTCACGAGGAAAACGCCAGTTTTATGGGAAAACCGCTGTATAACGCGATGGTCATTTACACAGCAACTCGGTCAGCCAGCTCGGAGCAGCAATCGCAAGTGAGCAGCAATCGCAAGTGAGCAGCAATCGCAAGTGAGCGATTGCAACAATTGCGAGGACTCAAAGTTGTGTAGCTGCCTAGCTGGATATAACAGACAGGCCTGTGCAGTTTACGAGCGGCACAGCCGCACAGGGATGCGAATTTTAAAATGACTATTGGCAGTCGTAATACAATTAACAAAACTGCAAGGGCGCATTTCTTGATAGTTAGGATTAAAAATTAGCATGATTATTAAATTAATTAATGTTAGTACTGTAATTGTACCACCGCTAGAGTTAATTACGATACAAGGAGCGAGCGAGTTACACCACCTGCACGTAAACCGAGCTTTAAGGTGTACCGTGAGTTACGCTACCATGAAATGCTATGTGCCGTGTATAGTAGCACTGACCGGCGCAAACAAGTATGATTACGTGTTTATGCAGTTGTTGTGAACTATTTTCACATAGGACATCTGTTTCCTATGCTTATTGGCGCTATGCAGAAGATGTCACAGTGATTGAGCGATTCACACAGTAACGTACTATGTAGCAGAAGCGCTTATTTATCAGTACAATATCGGTTGTTTTTTTTAGAGTTACGTTCTAGTCAAACATTTTTCTAGCGAGTTTCGCTTCCGAGTTACGTGCAACTCAGTAATCTGAAAATAACTCGTGTTAGTTAAAAATAACTGCGCACGTCTGGTACATATAGTTTGAGTCTGTTGACTCTGTTCACGTGCTCCTTGGAAATGTATACAGAGTCGCCGAGAAGAGAAACATGCAGATGGGCGATAATAATCCACACCAAAAATAACAATGTGCCGATTATAATCATCACCGAGAATAACAGTATGTTGATTTTTATCAATTTTTAAATGTGCTTAACCAGAAACCCTGGATGCCGAAGCGCGACCATGCTGTGTTTCCGTTCTCGAGCGCCTGCGTCTCCGTCTCTATAGTGCCGACTGAGTTTTATGTACTTATGCGGTACATTAACACAGACAGTATGCAGTATATAGATATATTTATATTTAGTATGCACTTTGCCGTACAAAATACAGTCTACGCGCTCTTTTCCCACATTCAGTTGTCTTCAGGATTTCGCGGTTGTAAACTCTGCCGTTTCAACTGAACCAGGGTGTCATCCAACATGCGGAGCCTTATGATCTTGGTGGTTGCAGTAATATGCATCCCGTCCATAATTCATCCCGTTGCGTCTGTTAAGCGACTTCCTATTGATACAGCATTCTGCGAAGACCTGCTAGCCAGTTGCCGGCTTTACGATGGCCCTGCTGCCCATGCCTCCCGTCAGTTCAATTTTACGAGAACGGTGCCATGGCCGTTATCACTCGAATACCTGGCTTCTCAGCGTCAAACAGCCGAATACTTTTGCGGGTAATACTTTATTATAAAATAGTATTAAAATTACTAATCGGCTAACAGTCATTTGTGCTCCTCTTACTCATATAAATTCATTTTATTTTTGTAGAGGGCTCGTGGAATCGGGAATGTGCTTTCGGGCAGTGAATGCCATGTGCCCTACTATTTTTGAACAACTGAAAGTGAAAAAGGCGTCACAGGGATGGTTCCACGCCGAATTCCTCATTGCTTTCAGTAAATTGTGTCAACTGCCAAATGGTTCTTTACCCCTTGCTCGTGCCATGAGCGACTGCACTGGACAACAGTCTCCAGTGTTAGTGTACGAGTCGTTCAATTCGTACTTTGCGAAGAGGATTTTGCACTCGGATTTAAATCATTTCGAGGATATCTCACCGGATCCTGCGGCGGCTCATCGTAATTTGTGCCGGTACATGCACTAGTAAAGCTGAAAATTTAATATTCATGCAAATGTCACGTCCAATGAATCTATTTGGTTTGGTTTGGTTTGGACCGTTTGGTTGCTGCAACAGCAGACATCATAAATTAAACAGATGATATCATGGATTTTAGCATGCATACTGATCTGGTTTTTTTTTGTTCGTTGTAGGTTTCTTGAAATGGTTGCAGCAGACATCCAAGGCAGCGTAAAGAAGGAATTAGTGGAGATGTGCGGAAACGAATTTGTCGTAAATGTGCTGGTGGAAGAGATAAAGAACATACATCTACTGCACTGCATAAACATGGACCCGACTACTGCTCAAAGTAAATCCGTCTGGCGTATGTAGTGCCGTACCATGCCGAAATCAGTGGAACCTCGAGACAATCACAAGCGCAAAACATGAATAAACTGCATTATGGTGATGGTATGTCCGATCCGTCGATTGAAACTGTATTAGACATTGTGTTCGGAGTGTACTTGCACTTAAGAGAAAAACACAGATACTGACATAATAAAGTAAATTAATGCATCTTCTTGAAGCAAAATAAAGCTGACATCTCAGTAATTGCAGTAATTGTAAGAGTGCGAAGTATTTTACATTATCAGAAAGAACCTAAAATGAATGTACAAGTTAGGTGATTAATTTCTTGCTTAAATGTAAGAGTATATGTAATACAGTACATTTTACAGTCACAGTAGCCACTAATCCCACTATACGTACTACAGCTTCCAAATCATCAAAATAATTTTACGATGAATAATTATGATGAATGCATTCGATTTATATATTTTTCATTATACGATAAATATGTCTATATGATATCAGTATTTGACGTGCCACTCCAAGTGCACGTAACCTTTAAAGAGTGGGGCGTGGCGGGCAGTGGTATTTCAGCGAGTGAAGAATTTTTGATACTTCTGCTAACTGGTGCTGCAAAATTCAGCTAAACCGGTCTGTCAACGTTTCATTCAGTTAATTTAATGTTTTCTGCTTTGTTTCGAAAATGGCTGGAATACATTCCCAGCAGTCCATTAATCAGTAATCAGGTGACAGTAAGTGTCAATAGGTTCTTTTGGTGCCTTTCCTGGCGGTGGTGGCAGAAATATAATTGAAAAAGAGCCGCTGGTGGCGAAATTGTAAGAATAAATTGCAAGGTGGTGGCAATAGCCAAAAAGGCGTGTAGTAAGGTGTAAAAATAGTCAAAAAGGGGTAAAAGGGGGTGACAGTAGCCGTTTCCCACAAAAAACATCGATTAAGATTGCTCGTATATGGAACACAGTATCGAGATTTGAAACATACGGCTTCCGGATTGAATGGTTTCCGAAATGAATGGTTATTGGACACCAACATTACAGGGTCGAGGTGTGGAATCAAACAGTGCAACAGGTATTTCTAAGCATGACTTTATAATCGCAATTAGAAATCTGGCATTTTTAGGTGCCGGATTGCAGTTGCTACCTTTCGACACCCGGCTTGGTAACTTCATGGATGTGAGAATTTTCTCCGAATCTTCTAGAACGCTTGCCTGAAGTCTACACTCAAGGCTAGTAAGAAAATTTGCAACCAGTCAAAGAAAATCTGCAAACTATGAAAAGGCTGTTGTAACAGAGACGCGAAACAACTTTGGTCATTTTTAATACCGGATTTGTCTCATTGGCCAGCAACTGCGCATTCTTCCTTTACATGGTCGCTCTTATTCTTTTCCATACCAAACCGGATGATATTGAACCACCACCAAGCTATCGGTGATCATGACGAGGAAGAGGAAAACGTATGCGGCCGGACAATGATAACGAATGGATATTCGTAGTAGTGATAGCTACATGGGCAGATTGGAAATGGACATGGCAGCCAGACTTCTCTGAATCATATTCATGGTTACGAGTATCTCCACGAGCAGCGCACCGTTGTCGGCAGCGATCAATGGCATGGAGATACAAACGGTCAGTCGTTGCGGATACACTGCTGCCGGTTGGTGTGGAGGTAAGAAGGCGTTGACCATTTTTGACAGTGCGCTCTGCGATAATTTAGAGTTTTGCGTCAAAGGTCACAGCTTTTCAAATAAAGGAAACGCTAATCCGTAGTGATTGCACGTGTAGTGATTAGGTTTTGTTCGACAGAAACTTTTTATGTGACGCATGAAGATGGGTTTGGAAATTCAGCACAGTTAGGTGAGGGCTTATCTTTGCGTCAGAATAGTGAATACCGGTCGGTACTAGTAGGATTTACCATTTGAATTTATGATAAAATGGAGCTTCAAGACTTCAAATACTGTGAGTGTGAATATCTGGCAAGTTACGAGATTAAACAAAATTTGTTTGGTTGTTTAAGTTTTTTCAGCACTGGATGTCTGTTATTTAGCAAGGCGTTTTGGCTTCAAAAAGCATATGGCCTCAAAAGTTTGGCTTCAAATATGCGCATGCATATTGCAAAGTTTAAACGGTTTGATTGATTTTATGGTCATCGCGGAAAAAGGAAAAGATTTGTTGGTTGTGTTTGACAAAAATAAAAAACTCCGTTGACCTTTCTACATTACTAACGATTATTCTGACAACCGGAGTATTTACCTTTATAAAATCTACAACCAGTATTCTGTAATCCCAGAGAAATCGAATCGAATCCCGGAGATCCCGGAGAAAGAGAATTTTTAATCACATTTAATTTATAAGGGTGAGCTGCCGCTGCGTCATTTGTTACGTATGGGCCCATACCGATGCAGGACCCAGGTAGTCTAGTTTAGGAGTTACCGAGCCGCTTCGGAAGCGATGCCCAAATAAATACAAAAAAGCTAATCCCAGTAAATTATCAGCAACGAGACAGCAATTGCAAAGGAAACTGATGAAATTCGCGTAAAACGAAATGTACGAGTTAAACTTCGCTTAGATGGGTGCGCCATTAATAGCTGTAGCTTGAATGTAAAATGCGCGTACTAATCTTACCGCATAAGATTTCGCGGAAACTCAAAACAATGGAAAACGTTTCACAACTAGATTGCGGCCGTATAATAAATTTTCATATTAAAAGGAGTAAGAAAAAGGGGTAAATAATGAAACAAAAAAATTTCAACTGCAGTTTTTGGGACGCATAGGGCTTTCGGAAAACTTAATTACTGACACCGCAAAGTTGCCAGTACTCGTAACTTTCAACCGTTACAGTTAGTTACAAGGATTAAGCAAGTTACACCATGTTACTGAATTTATGCAAGTAAACCAAGTTTTGAGTTTTACCACCCGTTACGCAACGATGTTGAATATCGATTATTTTTTTGAAAATTACGTTCCAGACTGGAGAATGGAAAGTAAGCTTTCTGACGGCTTTTCGACTAGCGAGTTTTGTTTCAGAGTTATGTTGTGACTCACTAATTCGAAAATGTTTGTACCTAACTCGCATCCAGTTAAACTGTTAAAGCTACGAGTACATAGCTATACAATGCACAGGTCTGGTACATGCAGTCTGTTCAGCTGCACTTTCGCAATGTGCAAACTTGCAGAATCGTCGAGAAGGGCAATGTACCGTACAGATAATCGATAACAATCTAAACAAACAATTACAATATGCCGATGATCATAACCGAAAATAATAGCTTGTTGATTGTTATCACTTTCTAAACATGCTTAAGCAGAAACCCTGGATGCCTAAGCGCGAACATGCTGCGCTGCCGTTCTCAAGGCCTGTGTCTTCCTCTCTACAGGATTTTGTCCGACTGATAATCTTGTGTACAGAGTACTTGCGCGTACATTAACACTTACACAGGCAAGCCAATATTCAATATACAGAATAGTATGCACCTCTACCGTATTGAATACACTTTCCACGTTCAGTAATCTTCAGGTCTACGCGGTAGTGATCTGTGCGTAATCCGTGGAAACCGAATTAGAGTGGTATCAAACATGTGGAGCCATCTCATCCTCGTGGTTGCACTATTCTGCATACCTTCCATAATTTATCCCGTTGTATCTGATGTCGATATAGCTTTCTGTGAAGATCTGCTGGCCAGCTGCCGGCTTTATGATGGCCCTTCCGCCCACGCCTTCAAACGGTTCAGTTTTACCGAGACAGTGTCATGGCCGCTGTCGCCGGAATACCTGGCTTCGCAACGTCAAGCAGCCCAATTTTTTTGCGGGTAATACGAATATTATTACGAATCGGCTAGCAGGCGCTCGTGCCCTTCAAACTCACAATTTATTTGTTTTCTTGTAGAGGGCTACTGGAGTCGGGAATGTGCTTTCGGTCGGTGAACTTATTTTGCTCTGATATTTTTGACCATCAGAAAATGAAGAAGGCGTCACAGGGATGGTTCCATGCCGAATTCCTCATTGCTTTTAGCAAACTGTGTCAGCTGCCAAATGGCTCTTTTCCCTTTGCCCGTGCCATGAGTGATTGCACTGGACAGCACTCGCAGCTGTCTCCAAAGCTAGTATACGATTGGTTCAACTCGTACTTTGCGCAAAGGATTTTGCACTCGGATTTAAATCATTTCGAGGATATCTCACCGGATGTTGTGGCGGCACACCGTAATTTGTGCCAGTACGTGCATTCGTAGAAGCTGTGATGTTCATGCGAATGACACATCAAATGAATCCGTTTGGTTGCTGTAACAGCAGATATCGTATACAGATACAGTTGATGATATTACTGAATTAAGCAAGAGTTCTGATCTGGTGTTTTTTTGTGGTTCGTTGTAGGTTTCTTGAAATGGTTGTAGCGGACATTCAAGGCAGTGTAAAGACGGAATTGGTAGAGATGTGTGGAGGCGAATTTGTCGTAAATGTGCTGGTGGAAGACATGAAGAACATACATCTAGTGCACTGCATAAACATGGATCCGTCAACGGCTGAAAGTAAATTCCCCTTCCGTAGGTAGTGCCTTATCATGGCAAAACTGTATTTAGTGCCGTATCTTGGCGAAATCAGTTGAACCTTGAGGCGGTCACAATTATAAACAAAATATACGTTTTTTTGCTGTTATTGTTGTATGATGGTGTTTCGGATTCGTTGACTAAAAACTGTAATACAATCTGTGTACGGAGCGTGCCTGTACTGCGGAGAGAAATACCGGTACCTACCGTATACTGCGGGGAGAAATACCGGTACGAGTGCTGACGCAATAAAATAAATTAAAGCAACATCTCCCAACAAAATAAAGTTGCCATTCCGGTAATTATAATAATTGTAAGGATGCTAGGTTTTTTACTTTACCGGTGCTGCTGTAACGCAGGGTAGTTTCATTATTTACGAAGTGGCTATGCGCATTGTTCCAGAAAGAACCTAAACAGGATGTGTAAACTTAATCACTTAACAGCGGTTGTGGAATCAGTTAACAGCGGTTGATGGTGGTCCAGAAAAGGGCATAAACTTTCTACATTTGCTCCCAGTAGAGTTGTTACCGGAACGGAGTGGATACTTCTTCTGTACAATTACACTGGCGTATCTGTACTGTACATACCGGTATGCGTTGCAGCGCTACTCATGTCTCGCAGGTTTTTTGTCGTATCTACGTAGTATAGGCTGTTTAATCATTGCCGTGATCACGCGGGTAGTCTCCTGTCCAACTGATCCGAGCGTTTCGATGTCTAGAGGATATTGATTCAAAATTTTTTGTATCATCCCATGAAAGTTTTAAAACCCACGCCTGTTACAAAGACATGGTATACCTCAGACAACTGTCAGAGGTGTAAGCTGTGACTGATCTTAAGAAAGTGGTTTTTCGTTAATGTGGGTAGACGTTGCCCGTCCAACCATTTATCGCGTAATAGCATCCAGAACTACAAATTCACGAGGTGCTCTGAGCTCCACTCTACGGCGCGGCACGCAACGCTGCTTACGCGCTTTACCTGTATTTGGCATGACTATGGTAGTGTCTATTGTAAGGGGCGATCTCACTTCGGAATACCGTTTGTCACTGCGATAGGTATAACGTGGTGGCCACTGGCCAGTGGCACAAATTGCCATACCTACCTGTATTACCATATTAAAATACTCAAAATTATATATTTAAAAGCTAGTGAAAAATTGAAAATGCTTTTGATAATTGGTGGCACAAGCGTGTCTTCCGCAGTTCGTTCATTATGTAGTCGCATTCGGACATTCTCATGCTACGGCCGGCAATACCCCACTTGTTTTCTTGTTCTGTTATAATATATATTATGTCTAAAGCCAAATAAATGGGATTACTGTAAGTCTGTAACTGAGTTTCAAGAGCCAAGCTCCACTGATCGCATCTAAGCCGAGAATCTAAACATGATCACATTGCTGTTTACTTCCACATCAAAGACTCCTGGATCCGCTATATATTAAGAATGCGTAAAAGTCGAATTAGCAACAGTCCGCGCGTAATTAATTAATCAGAACAGAAACACCCTTCTCCGGGAGTTTTGGGGGTGGAGGTTGCACTTTCGATACCCCGTTACGTAATTTCATGGGAATGGGAATCTTTTCAAAATCTTTCTTCAGAGTTGCTATGTAATCTGCACTTAAGGCTAACAAGAAAATCTGCAAAGCAAAGTACTTCGTTATAAGAACCGTAATTATAGACCCCAAAGGCCTAAAATTTCTTACGGGATTTGCCGCAGAAGCTAGTGCAGTCTTGGAATACATGATCGCTCTAATTTCTTTTCCCCACCGGCTGATACCGATTCAGAATCGGTGTTGGTAGTGTGCAGATGCAGTACCACAGAAAGGACAGAAACAACGCTTTTGCCATGGATAATCTCCGATTCATCGTTCTGCGCTTAGTGGCCGTACTTGTGGCTTCCCTGTTGGTAGGAAAAAATTTATTCCGCCGGCACCGAAGATAAAGAAACAAACAGCCGTAGACGATGCCCAGCACTGCAGTGGGAATATATGTCCCAATTATCGGCAGCAGTCCAAAGAGCGCAGCTCTTTTCGGTTCCACTCGTATCGTTCCACAGTGGCCCGATGGCAACCGTCCGTAGACGATTCCGGGGACCGTATTTAGGTTGGGCATACTAACAGCCAGTGCAATGCTCCCGGCAAAACTCAGTGCTGTCACCGAGTACCGCTTTGATGATAATCTGGTGTAGTAATGCGGCAAAACTATGGCGATAAAACGGTTAATGGCTAAAACTACCCATACCCAGTTGCCGGCGATCATCACAAAGACGAGGAAAAAGTATGCGGCCCTGCAGTGATAACGAAAGGATATTCGCATTTGTGATAAGTACATGGGTAGATTGGAGATAGGCATAGCAGCCAGACAGTAGAGAAGATCTACGGTTACGGAAACGGCTAACAACAACCCTGAACCTCTCTTCAGCCGTTGCAACCGGTAAATCATGGCTAAAAGCAACAGTATGAGCAACGCCCCGATGCTGGTAATGACGAACTGCACGACAATCCAAATGGTCAGTTCCATTGAGCACACGCTGCTGCGGCCTGGCATGGAGGTATTTGACGCGTTGACCATATTTGAAAGCGTGCTGCGCTGCGCTTTGAGATAACACTGACGCTTCACAACCTTCAGTCTGCCGATCGCAAGCAGACGTGGATATTCCGTGAATGTGGTTGTCTACTCTTCATGTAATAATTATACTGATATACAATACTACTAATACTGCTGTAATCAAACGTGGCGTCTTCGTAAGCGAGGCACGGTAATTGCGCAGGCAGAAATAATGAATATGACAATTATGAAGACAGCAAAGAGACTGGAAACTGTGCGGTTATGTGACACTGTGCTGCAGTTCTGGGCGGGCATTTGTAGCCGGCAGCAAGGTGAATGGGTTGAAGTTTTATGATCAAAGAAGCTGCATCAGTCTTCCTGTCGAATAGAGTGGACTCCCACAACTGGTGACGCCAAACACCTTGTACGCAGAACACAAATGAGACATGAATACTGGTTAGCGAAAGTATACCGAGCGTATTGTACCATGGGAAAATTGTTAACCATGATGTCAATCCAAATAACATTGTTCTACATTTCGTGGAACCACGAGTTTGCCTTTACCGTCCGCTCATTAAGCAGTCTAATTGTACAGCGTGCGGAGAAATCGGCTCTTAGTAGGAATAATTCTACCTATGACATTCGAGACGTTGACATTAATATGCAAATAGTGCATATGTTAATAATTAGTTGCGATTAATTAGTATGATAGATTTCGTTGAAAGTCAGTATTGATTCAGCGTAATCATTCTTTCTGTTTATAATCCCAATGATCTGGTAAGTTTCAACCTGTCGAAAATGCGTTTGGTAGCCACCTAATCACGGGTCAGTTTTCTTTTGCAAACAAAAAGAAATCCGTGGTGCTTTGCGCTTACTTGAAAAACTGCTCAAATCAAAAATTGATCAAACTGCTAAATTGTTTCGCTTACGGCGGTATACTATGTACACTAGTGTAACTTATGTAATGAACTGACCGGCCCGTTCCCGTCTAATCTTTTACCCCTTTGGTACGCCATCGTTTCTCTCATCGGAATTCATTTCTGCTTTTCTCCACCAGCATGCATCTGCACGCTTTCTTGTTACCTACCGTCATATACGACGCGATTTCTGTCTGCTATGTTTCGCTGTTAGTTTGAAATTCAGGGAAAACCGAACGGCACCGTAAGGTACAAGGAAAGAAAGCCGGGAATTGCGCACTCGGCATATGCGATTCAAGAACACCGACACAGCTCTCGCTAGGTCAGAGATACACGAATTGCAACAAATCACTAAAGAGTATAGGAAAAAAGTAATGTCAGAACAATAAATAATTAATCATAAGGAGAGATAATCAAATCAGGTAGTGTGCTTGCGACTGTAGGTTACACTGTCAGTGTTTTGAATTTTCGTCACCCGGTTTGGCAGTATGATGGAAATTAGAAGCTTCCCAAAATCCTTTCTTAGGATTGCTTTGTAATCCGCACTAAAGGCTAACAGGAAGATCTGCAAAAAACATACATCAATAAAATATTGTTAATAAAAAATAAAACCAAAAATGTAGCCTTACGGGATTTGCCGAATAAGGCAGTAACTGTGCAGTCTTGGAATATATGATCGCTCTGATTTCTCTTCCCCACCAGATGGGCGGATACCGACTCAGGATCGGGATCGGCAGTGTGCAGATGCAGTACCACAGAAAGGATAGAAACAACGCTTTGGCCATGGACAATCTCCGTTTCATCGTGCTGCGCTGAGTGGCCGTACTCGTGTCTACCTTGTTGCCAGAACGAAATCTATTCCGGCATCGAAGATACAGAAACATGCAGCCGTACACAATACCTAGCACCGCAGCGGGAAAGTATGTGCCTGTTATCGGTTGTAGTCGAAAGAGTGTAACTTTATATCAGGCTCTACGCGTACCATTCCGCAGTGCCCCGATGGTAGCTGCCCGTAGACGATGCCGGGAACCGTGTTTAGGTTTTGCATACCGTTGGCCAGAGCAATACCCCCGGCAAACAGCAGGGCTGCCACCGAGAACCGCTTTGTTGATAATCTCGTATAATAATGCGGAAACACTATGGCGAAAAAACGGTTCATGGCTAATACCACCCTCACCCAGTTGCTAGCAATGATGATGAACACGAGGAAAAAGTATGCGGCCGCGTAATGGTAAGGAAAGGATATTCGCAGTTGGGACAAATATATGGGCAGTGTGGTTATCGGCATGGCCGCTAGACAGTAGATAAGGTCAATTATGATGGAGACGGCTAACAGCAGCCCTGAACCGCTCTTTAGTCGGTGCAGTCGGTAAATCATGGTCAAGAGCAACAGCATGAGCAGCGTACTGATGCCGGCAACGACGAACTGCACGAAAATCCAGATGGTCAATTCCGCTACGGATACGGTGTTGAGGACAGACGTGGTGGTATTGGATGCGTTGGTCATCTTTGACAGCGCGCTGTTCACATAACCTACATCTAAACTAACGTAGACGTTTGGCTGTTACCGAGCAGGCGCATAAAAGTCCGAATTATCGGTATTTATTCTTGTAATGCGACTGGTGATATTGCTCGTTTGATAATAATAATACTGTTGTTAAATGTCACATTCTTGTGAGCAAGACAGGACTGATCCCCGATAATTGCGTACGTTATGAAAATGTTTTCATTAACAGCAACCTGTAACAAAGATACTAGAAAATGGGATGCTACAAATACATCCAGTTTACGATTGTGTTACCGATACTTCTAGTACTTGAAACAGTGGTTGTGCCAATGTATGGATGTTTCCGCTTGTTGTTTGTAATAAAATGAGTCAGCGGATTATCTCCTTTTGCGAAAGCATTTATTTCCTGGTAAACTGATGCGTTCTTAATTAATTTTCTTTAGCAACTAGGTAATTAGCAAGATTGACCCGGGTATTTTTCAGAGATTCCCACAGCCTACGGTACCAATATAGGTAGATAAATGCGTTTTTGGTTGATATAGAGCCACACTGAAACGCCTAAGATGTGTGGAGAAACGGTTCTTGGTAAGAGACACTTCCGGTAATATGCAATACCTTCTAGTAAGTCGTTATTATAGTCTGTACGACCTAGGTTCGGTCGAAAATTGATATGTCCCTGTTTCTGTCGCGAGGTAATCTCGTCTGTTCCGCATATAGAATCCAATCCACTGTTTGGCACGAGTAGGCTTTATTCGACGGCCAATAAGGAGTACTTTAGATTCGCAACGCTTCATGCACCCTTGAGAAAGTGCTGATCCAAGATTCAACGTTTTTATATCGTTCCAAATGCAGGATATGTCTTTATCGGGCACGCGAAACTCTAACAGTCATCAGTTGACCCTTATTTCCTGCTTTTTTACGGCTTTTTTCTTCGTGAAATTATGGAACCGAAGCGCATAAGCAATAGTGCAGGCGACGAATCTGCTCGAACAATTCATCTGGCAAGATTTTTGTGGCCATGCCGTTATCTTTCTCTGATAAACACAGAATACCAACAATACCGCCCTCCAACGATAAAATCTGCAGGTTGCTCAAAACTTAAAAGTGCACGGTTTTATTGTGGTGACAGTCAGTCGTGGTACGACTACAAACATCCCGCAAAACGTATCGACTGTCGAGCGAAAATATTTTTTTGCGATTCGTAAGCAAATACCGTACGTCCCAAAATTGGGGGGGGGGGGATTAATTAAATTTCATGTTCAAAAGCATCGGAAAGAAATAATGCTTTCATGTGATCAAAATGCAATTACTGGAAGATTATGCAAGTACATATAAGCAACTTTAAAAAAGCAACTTGTTGATGGCCTTTTGCCTAATAAAGAACACTTTAAAAATCATTATTGAAATAACTTATCACGATTCACCGGTAGTTGCAGTGTCAACCAACTGCGCCTGGGAACTCAAATAAAACCGTTATGACATGTCTTTCTCTGACTACTCGTGTAGTCTCTTAAAAGCACACGGTTTGCGTGCAAGAGAAGCTGCTTACTACCTTTCGAGGTTTGTTCGCAGATCTGAATTTCGCCGTAGTTTTGTTGCTTTATGAGTAGATCTTTTCTGGTTTTTAGACGGGACTGGTGCTTCTTTTACTACAACAGCTTTCAGGAAGGCTTGGTTCAAGGCTAAAGAATTTTTTCCTATACTAAATCTTATCATTTGGATAGCATTTGGATTTCGATCGTAATAACAGGTTTTATACTTCCCAAAAACTGTGGAAAGTGCGTATGCCGGTTTGCGGAACTCTTATCATTAATTTTTCTGTTCGTGTGCGAATGGGCAGATCTTTTCTGTCCAAGTTTAACACTCTACTATTATAATAAATAATTTTTTTTAAATTCAGTTGGTACGGGCATCGTTTACTTTACGTAGTACGGGCACACACACCAAAGTTTCAAGTTTGCTAACAGCGAAATTGTAGCGCCATTTCCAGCTGCTTTTTATTGTGAAAGCTGTACAAGTTGCTATACAAGTTACTTTTATGGCAGTCATGGCATACTGTTTTTGCTAATTAAGGTCATGTACATACTGCAAAATTAAACGCGAAGGGCAATATTCGTACATACATATGTTTTTAAAATTATTAATTTAAATGCACTTTTGGACCTCAGAAGAATCGCCGGGAAAACAATGGGTTGATGGTAATCCATGCAAAGAAAACCATAATTACCCAATTGTAATTGCTATCGACAATCACGATCGATGTACGATTTCTATGATTGTGACATGCAGTCGGTGCACATGCAGACTTTTGTCGAGGTAACACGTACTGCAGTTGGGTTTTCCTACCCTAGTGTCTGTTTATTGTGAGTGTTTGAAATTATAATAATATATGCATATTGACTATTGAGTACACACATTCCGCAAGCACCGATAGGATAAACTCGGTACAAAGTACAAACCGTACAGTCACTATGCAGTAACGTACCAGAATCGAAATTTTTATTCTGCTTAGTGTGCAGTGGTGCCCCAATTGAAATAAACTGGTTTCCAGATCGGAACAACTCGTTGGAAGAACCAGATCGGAATAATACTGCAGCGTAGTGTCAGACAGTTTCGTCGCCAATCATGAGAAGTCTTCTAGTGTTCGTTGTTGTAATAGTCATATCCTGCCTATTTCATCCTGCGGCATGTGGTTATGTAGAAGACTGTCGAAAGCTTTTAGAGAAATGCCAGTCTTATGCTACTCCGTCTGCAAGAGGGCCTCCGTTTGATTTTAAGACTGTTCCTTGGCCAGTAACCGATGATTACTTACAACTTCACCGCTCGTTCTCCGACCGTTTCTGCCGGTAAATAATATATGTCTGTGGGAAAGCGTCGTACGAAATTACTGTCGCTGTATCTGGCGTAAAAAATTCTTACTTATTTAACTCCGATTGACAATTTACTTGTAGAGGACTGAGTGAATCTGGACAGTGTTTCCGCGATTTAAATAGCCGTTGTCCGGGAATTTTTGATTACTGCCACATGGGTAAATCTGCACACGGATGGTTCCATGGCGAATACCTCATGGCTATCAGCAAACTGTGCCAACTGCCCCGCGGCTCGTTACCCTATGCCAGTGCGTCTTCTCTCTGCGGTCGCAAAACTCCACTTCTTCCATATTGTATGAAAAAGATTTTGAGCACTGATTTGAACCATTACGAAGACATTTCACCGGATACGGAATCAGCACGTCGTAATGTGTGCGAGTACGTTAAAACACACAGTAATTGGTACCGTATTTTTTTTCCATAAAAACAGGGATTAAGGTCTCGTACTTGAATGCGTTATAAAATTAATAACTTTGATCTGATACGGATGTGATTGATTTAGGTATTTCCAACTTGTTACCGCGGGAATTGAAGCTGAAGGCCCCGTGCGGACCGAATTAGTAGAGATGTGCGGTAGCGAAGAAGTGGTCAATGCGTTGGTGGCCGAGCAAAAGAACATATATTCTTTGAACTGCATGGATCAACTCAATTTTTGATAGCTATATTTACTCGTATAACGCTACGTCATGCAGGCTGCACCTGCAACAGTGTGCATGTTGTCGGATAACTCTAGTTGTCTTTTTTTTGTTATAAAATTTCATTTTATTGCTGCTCCATTCCATAATCTAAAAACACTGATGCGCGAAAAAAGGAAAGTACAGGTTTTGTGCCTAATCGTTTCTGCTGTATTTCTTGCGCAAGCTGACTTTGCAAAGCTGAAAAAGGGCCAGATTATATGGTACGTGTTATACATGTCCCACAAATAATAATATTAAAATTTGAAGGTCAGCCAACTAATGCGTGATGATATTTATTCCGAGGATCGCTAAAGTTTGATGTCATGTGGCGGGTTAACACTGCTGAAGGCCGGATTAACAGTTGCTTCGCTAGGCTGCACTGCCTGTACAGTTGTGTGCGACATATGTGCAGGAGTGGACGGAGACGCGGCTGGCACGACAGGCCGACAGATTTTGCGCAAAGTGTCCCGGTATTCGGCATTCAGGGTGTAATACATAATCTGCAATAGCAAACCAGGGACTTTATAAAAATATTGATCGATTATAGCTACAAAAAGCCTACTTAATTTCAAACGAATGTGATTGTGATTATTTGTAAAATTGTTACAATGGGACTGTTGTACGTATTTCATATCGATTTCCGATGCGTCGCCAATTTAAAGTGTGTACTGATTTTGGGCTGCACTATATCAGCATTATTTTTACCGGTTTTGTGGAAAATCCAGTAAACAACAATGTCCGCAGCCACAGCAAAGCCATGGGGTGTTTGGCAAAAATTTGCGGGACAATCGCCATCATAATGGGAATAGGGTAGAAGCACAGGCAGTACCAGATGGACGAGGCGAACAGCATCCGCGCCATAACCAGCCGGCGACTGATTGTTCTTCCGGCATTCTGATCGGCGCTTGTTTGCACTTGGTTGGTGAGCTTTTTTTGCCCGTAATTGGACTTCATCACGGTAAACAGGCCGATATAGATGCTAAGGGTCAGGCCCAGGGGCAAGTACATTCCGACGGTGGTGACGCCATCGTACACGTGTTCCCTGAAAAATCCTCATCACATGCAAACATCCTGGGTCGGTTATTCCGGTAATTGCCGGTCTCGGAAGCTAACCTATCAGTGCACTGGTAAACAGAGTTCTCGGTTTTTATGATTCTGCATTTTTCCTGCTACAGCTTACAAACAGTTTTTAAGAACTATCCTCGGAATAATGATCGCATTTAAGGTGTAAGTAAATACTATTAATTTTATGTATTTTATTAAGTACTGCCACTGTATATTTTACCAGTTATCGGGTACGTAATCGGAATAGCTAATTAGCTACTGTATAATATGTACTGCTGGAGGTTGATATAGGAATCATACATTTATTACGAACCGTAGAGACAGCGTAGACCAAAAGAATAGCGAGGAAGAGATGCAGCATTTTTTGTATTCATAAAGGCATACGAACGAATGATTTTCAAATGATTTGAATGATTTTCAAATTTCGTTAACATGATTTTCAAATTTCGTTAACAAAATCCATTAAATTTCGCTAACAATTTTGAGCAAAAATTAGTGCATTGGTATCTAATTCGCGTAAAAAAATCTACCAGAACATTATTTCACATTTGGCAGCGCTTTGCTGTCACCTGCACCTTTTAATTGACGAATAATAACCGGTAATATTGTACTATCCAGACATTTGCCACTGCACTACAATACTTTTTTGCTAACTGCAAATGCTGTTTTTATTCCATTTATTGGAACAGTACAACATAATTACGTTTACGCTGGCTTTGATCCGCAATCTTATTCTTAGTGCGCCTCGAGATACAGTACCATTCATTCGAGTTTTAACAAAAATCAAGTTGCTTACGTTTGGGGTTGCAGTCGGGTTCGAACAATTCCACATGCTCCCAGCGGTGGCATGGAATCAAACCGCCCTCCCACACCGGCCGCAATGGGCGCTGCCGCTCCCAGTCCAAACAGCCAGCTGCTCGCCACCATGGAAGCTCGCATGGTTCTTGACGTCAAATGTCGGTAGAAATGCGGTCTGGCAACCGCCACCAGCCGGTTGATGGCCAGAAACGCCGCTGACCAGTTGGACGCAAACAGGGTCACCCAGTAGGTAAACATCGAATAGTAGCAGTAGCGGCGATTAGACGTGGAACCGGTCTGTACACGAAAAACATCCGCACAGAAGAGATAAAAATGCACGGTGGCAAGAAGGGCTTCCGTCAGGATCAGATGCATCATCAGCACGCCGGTTCCCTTATGGAGAGATTTCTCCGAGAATATGATTAAAAACAGCACAATGTACGATAGCGTGCCAAGTACGCATATAATTAGTGACACAATGAACCACTCCGTTAAGCTCTCTAATGAAATCAGTGGCGACCATGGCCTGGTTAGATTAATCGTGATATTATAGGTAAAATTTAAACTAACATTCATTTCTGTTAAAGTCGATACCGGTTATTTGATAGAAAGCAAATGTAACGATCAGCCTCCACCACGCATCATAATGTGATGTGGAGGTATCCGCAAAGCGGTAAACACCACATCCTGTGCAAGCATGGCTTTGTAAGCGTCGATGAGGGTAATCGAAAATAATATTGACATTTTTTACTGGCGGGACACACTGTTGCGGTAAGGCCAAGGGATGAATCAGACTGATTGTGCGGAACAAATAAACGCGCCTATTGAAAAAGAGAAGAGTCCACTAGTTACCACCATAAAAACACTCCTCAATTGCTGGCGAAGCTCCCTGTCCATGGCATAACAGATCCATTAACTTAGCGCAGATTCCGTGTCGTTTTTATATTCTCCAAGGACCCTTGTTTGTGCGCTTACGTAGTTTATAGTTTATACATTAATACATTAATGAGAGCTAGCACGGCATTGTGCACTCGGGTAGCGCGCATACGAGTAGGTGGTTAAGGAGACGGTTTACTCCGTATAGCTGATTAGATCGAGAAGCAAAATTGTGCTAATTAATTGTTACATGACAATCAACAGTTCAACTGACGTCATAGTGCGGAAATATCTCTTGTTGCAGCTACACACTACAGCCTTGGTATACAGGTATTGGATTCGGGACACAGAAAAAAGTGTTGATAATGCATGTTGGAAAGGAAATTCTAAGACCTGCATTAATTTGTAACGGAAGTAATGAATTGAACCGAGGGAAACCTTACAGGAGTGGTGAAACCTTAATGATTGGAGAAACCTTACCTGTCTCCATTCATCTTACAATCAGTCGTTCATATTTCTCTAGCTTGAGGGCTGGCTGACGTAATAAATATTATCATATTACTGATAACGATTAATAATTGTTTTCAGGAAGATCATTTTGTGCAGTTTTTGCAAATTAACAAGCTAATACTGCTGTGTTGGATGCGATCATGTGCAGACAGTATTACTGATTTTGGCGAAACCTAACAATATACGTACCGGTAGCTCTTTTACTAGAGTAGGTTGTTTTCGATTTATAAGTACGCTGTAAGTACTAAACAAATTCCGTACATTATAATCCATATGTTTTGATAATTCAGTTTTTTCAACTTAGTTTTTATAGAAAATGTTCAGAAATATAGTTTTAAATCGAAACTACAATTAAAGTACAGCAATTAATTTGTTTGTTTTACGGTTTTCACCTAGGAAGGGAATTATCCAACCTGAGTTTGTACGTACAGGCATCCAACGAATCAATAGTAAAAATTAATGGTTAAAACTTAATTTGCATAGTCAAGATGGCTGGTCTCGACGAGGACAACAAAAGGCGCCGGTACTCATCGACGCAATGAGAACGGAACCGCCAAAACAGTTCTTACTTAATCACCAAGGTGGATCCAGTGAGTCACGCTGTGCTACCGCGAATCAACCGCCGTACATTGGCGCATAATGCACAGTCGGCAAAAAACACCTATCCGGTTAGGAAAGGTACCGTCGCTCATAATCATTGCAGACCCATGTTAATAATCGACAGAAGCAGCTGCTGATAGTTGAACACCGGTGTACTGTTTACATTAGCCAAGAGGGCCACTATGTATCATTGTGTTCGCACATAAACCGCGGCTGATTATACACGTTGAGTCTATTTTTCTACTCAAATAACCACAATAGCGCTGACTTCCGTCCTTTTTTAATATTCTTGTTCCTCAAGATCGTTTCTCGCTCTATTGCCGATATGTTTATGGGATAGTTATGGTAATAATCGTCCATAAAGTGGTGCCTTGGAACATATTTGAGCAGTCGGCTGACGTGCAAAAAGCCGACATTCAGTTGCATTAATTCTTAGAATACAGATCTGTAGTGTCCCAAACAGTGCTGTTCAGATTTATTAAGATGAAATCAGCTGTTTGCCTCGTCTGTTTTTTCCTGTTCCTTTATGTGGATGGAAGACCGATCGATAAGCGAAGTCTGGATTTAAGTAGCCTTAAAGATCAAGGTATTTTTGGGTTGTATGTACTTCCCTTTGCTACAAAACTGCCTGCCGTAAGGTAAAAGAAATACTGAAATGAATAGCCGTGTCTCTTGTATATATTTGAGCTCGTGCAGTTTAGGTGAATAGTTCTGTTATTTGCTCATTATTTTTTGCAGCAATAAAATACATCAAAGGAATTCCTGCAAGTAAGTTAGATCAAGTTTTGTCATAGCGCAAGCCGAACTTGTTGCTTAAACGCTTAATGATCTTCAGGATGGAGAGAATTCATACCGGACGAAGTCTACCAGAAAGGCATGCAGAAATACAAGCAAATCAAGGGTTTTTTGGAGCATTTCTTCGAAGGGGATATTGCCGGTATCGGTATAGGCGGACAAGGCAATCAAGTAGGCAATAAAACCCGCCCATTGTTTTGATAAATAACAAGGAAGCGCAAAAACGGTTCTTGTTTTGCAGCAAGCGGTATTAGCTGATGCTTCCACTTTGGCTGACCATCAAAAGTATCTCTGGCCCGGTGGAGTGGTACCATATGATGTCAGCAACGCTTTCGGTATGAGCTTATGCCTGTTTACCAGCTAAATTACGGATCAATTAAAAAAGTATACAATTGCAGCGGATCACGAGAAGGAAGTGATTCAAAATGCTTTGGATGACATGTCGAAAAAGACTTGCATAAAGTTTGTCAGGCGCACCAACGAACCCGATTACATTAGTTTCATGCGACGAGCACTGGGGTTAGTAAAAGATTTCGCTGTGAAAAACTTTTGAAGAGTGTGCTTTCTTGGAACTAATTATTATAATCTTGCATCATTTGCCGGTTTTGCAGATGTAGCTCATACGTTGGTCGCCAAGGCTCGCGCCAGTTTGTGGATCTACAGCCCGGATGCATTTATGAAATCGGCGAAGTCCAGCACGAAACCATGCACGCTATTGGCTTTTATCATGAACAGAGTCGAACGGATCGCGATGACCATGTCAGCATTGTTTGGGACAACGTAAAACCAGGTATCAAAACAACGAATACGATGCTACGTAATGGAATCGCCGGTGTACGCGCTGATTTACAGATCAACGCGACCAGTTTAAGAAGTACGTCTCCAACACTTTCGGCTTACCATACGACTACGAATCCATTATGCATTACGGATGGAACTACTTCGCCATCGACGATTCCAAACCGACGATTCTCCCGAAAATGAAGGCAGCTATTGGGAACAGAAAGGTTATGAGCGCGCTGGATGTGGAGCGGATTAATAAGATGTACAACTGTCCACAAGCCGGACAGGGCATGGTCAATATTCCAACAGCATGGTCAGCCAAAACCGAGCTGAATCCCGATTGGCGTCCAGTCGTCACACCGGCACCTGGCAGTGATACGGCCACAAAATGTTTCCTAAAACAAAACAACGATCCGCAGACCACGACCCAAGCGTCGGGATTGACTGGGTGGCTGTTCCAGAAGTTTAAGAATGTCGCCAAGGATAAGGCCAAAGATGTTGTCTGTGGTGTGATAAACGGTTGAGCAAAAGCAGTGTTACATACAATACAAAAATTTGCATACATGCATGAGTAAAGCCGGTGTATTTCTTGTCTAGCTCTCGTTACTCTGGTGTGCAAAAATGAAGAAAACGTTCATTTCTGAAAAGTATTGGAATGGTTTAATTTAATTACGGCCGGCGAAGGGCGGTCGACAATACTGTCAAAGTTACTTAAACGGCTCCGAGTCTCCGACTGGGAATGACGCTCGTTCAACAACGATGTTTTGTGTTTTCCGCTCAACGTTAATGCATCCAGTGTAAAGATCTAGCGTAACTGTGCGTTAAATTATGACTATAAAGGAAGACTTGGCGCAGACTTGCAGTAATACGAGCAATTTGCAGTAAGTTGGTTGAGAGGTCTATAGTTATCGACTTGAGCGTCTGACCATTTTGAAAAGACTGTCAATAAGTGGACAGATGTATTTTGCCATTTATTAACTTATAATAACGCAGATATCGAATCTGATTTATTCTGTCATCAAAATTTAGGTTGAACAAGCGCAGGTGTAGAACCGTTAAACTTGAGCCGCAGTTCTAGTTGACTTTCGCGCACAGTCACTACTATCTGCATATATGCGTAATTAGAAAAACGTAACTATGTGGATTTTTTCGCTGTTTCCGGAGTTCACATTTTCCAGAACATGTTGTTTTCAAACTCCCCAGTGTCAGGAAATCAGTTTATAAGTCGAGTATTATCTTTCTTGGGAAACATGCACAACGGGAAGTAGGGAATGAATAACATTAATCTATTCGAGAAAATCGAAAGGATGTTCTTACTGGTCTAGCTAACAATTGTAAGAAATACTAAAGGATAAGAAACCTACGAATATATTGATTGTGAAAAGGGGTGGAGTACGTGGGAATACGTTGTTGAGGTACTTAGTTCATTGCGTCGCCCTTACAATGTTAACTCGTTTTTGAAACGGGCTTGTACGTATTACGAATTACATGTAAAAGACAGTACAGATTTTATAATCATGTAATTCGATTTAATAAGCGGTACATAAAATATGTATAAAGTAAACGTAAATTCAGTTCCGTTTACTGGCGATACGTTGGGCCAGATTGTAAAGGGAAGTGGCCTAGTAAATGGTACCAAATTCGTGTACGTTTACGAAAACTTTTACTTCCGCGCACTCCAAAACACATTTTTGCTTTGTTTTACGAAATTCTGTAGCCAGATGAATTGTATACATTGGTGTAAAAACCGTTTGTGCACGCAACATCCGATTCTGGAGTAATGGCTGAAAAAAATTCCAAAAAGTTTAAAAGCATTCAGGACCTTTCAGGTGTACCAAGGCACAGTTCGGTGCATTCTCCTAGTATTATTTATTATTAATAAAATTTCTGCCTATACAGTTGTATGCTCCTGTATATTTTCCAATACAGAATTGGTAACTGAGCCATAAGCTTATAGGCTATGATACACTGCGACCCATATTGGAAGGCAAAATCCCAGAAACCCGGAAGGAGATCGAATTTTATCCAGTATAGTTATTGCGGGTTCACGTGGATACACTTTGCACCCAGTGCGCCGTATAGATCGATAATAGTATATAATGTCTTAAAGCATTTTTAAAGAAAATATAATTATCCGATTATTCATTTTCTGCTGTCTTGACGCAGCAGACAATTATTAATCTGCGCTGGCTTCGAAGAAACGGTATGCCTTGCCCACATGCGACAGGAAGCCGGTCATCAGTCTCAGCGCCTGTGTTAGCTATCTGGAAAAGCAGCTGATCCATCATTTTTTTGTTATTGAGCTTTCGTATTAAAAAGCTCAGGATCAGCAGATCAAAGCCGAAATGTGAATGAAAGGTAAAATTTTTTACTAACAATTGTTAGAGGAAGCCAAATACTGTATATCCTGCGATTTTGCGCGAATTCATTCCATTTGGTCAAGCGTGTTTAGCAGCATTTTTATTTTTAAGACAGCACAAAAGACAATTCGGAGAAATCGTTTTAAGACATTAAAACCGCTATTACGAGAAGCACGAAGCCAACTTTCGTTCCCAGTGCACTGGGAACAGTTGTCATGAAACACCGGTACACCGGTTCCCGGTGACCCTGAAAGACTTATTTAAGTATATTTGCGGAGACAAAGTATTCAAAATATTGAACACTGTAATTATAAAATCCAAATTGACTGGAATGATAAATTCGGTTATAGTTGAAAACAAAAATTGGTCCAGTAACATGCGATCTGCAACTGCGTCAGCACAACTGATTCTAACTATCGTAGCGTAAAAACTTCGGTTACACGATACATTAACTGCATTATCTTTACTTCACGGCCGGTGAAGATTGAAAAATGAGGAAAATCCCGGCTTCCACTTCACGGCAATCAAGTAATTAGGCGTTTGGGAAATAATTTACGGTTTGTGAGCAGATACCTGATACCTTTCAGATGAAATCCCAAGGGACAAACCAGACAGACAGCGGCAACATAGCTTTGCCGACTGCTTAATTTTATCTTGATTTTGTGCAAATTTGTGGCAGACAAGCAAAACGACATCAGCCTCGTACACCATGTACCTAAATTTATTTACAATAGTTATCCTACAAAATAGTCTGGAACCGAAAGGCAGCTTCGAAGGGTCAACTGTTAAGGTTAGTACACGTATTGCAAACAATAACGTTCTACACACTTCAGTTTTCTAAAATCCTGAACTGGAGTTTTGCTACCACCGTCCATCTACTCGCACCGTACAATGCGATCAAGGTACATATACATACATTTAAATTTTAATATAGGCACCCGTGCGGAAACCTACGTAATTACACTGGCTGATATGCTTTCAAAAACCATTTATAAATCATAAAACAATTGAATAGTTAACTAATAAATGAAAGATGGTCCAAATCCCAAGCATCATCTTCCTCTTGGCATCATGGTGTTGAACAGCGTCGTTTGGCGCTACCAGCTGTGGTTAGTTCGCTCCAAATTGCTGTGCATCGCAATATGATCGCCCAAGCTGCAGTTACCACCGCCGTGTAGTGGTTTAAGAGAACGAGCCGATGGCAGGATAAAGAAAAAATAACGCGAAGTATGGTGATTCCCAGAATGGTCCGCTTGAAAAACCAGATATAAAATTGTCCAGGCAACCAAGTTAACATAATGATCAGCACCATAAAGAAGAACACCTGGAACTTGCTCGATCGGCGTAACTGCAATACACATGGACAAAAGCAACAGGATCGATTTCCCCGGCAAACTACAAAGGAGATTCCAAAAATAATTTTCCCTATTCTGTCTCCCTGCGATTTTAGGTTATACACAAATGGTATAACTTTTGCTGGATAACCCATTATGTAAACTATGTCAAGAAATAAGAATCAAAAGAATCGAAGAAGAACTTGCCAAACGAAAAACAGAATGGTGAATGCTACTTTTGCACTTTTTTCAGCATCTTTTTGGAAAATTATTCTTTTTATTGCCGCTTCTGACCTGGCAATGTTTTCAACAAAAAACTTAAAGTGTCAACTACAAATTTAGTACTTGATATTACTGCGATGGCAGAACATTTTAAAAAGCTCAGGGGTAAAAGTAAACATTTTTCTTTCATAAGGCACCGAAATTCCCTTATTTCAGCAGTTTCGTTCTTACAAATTCGTGATGCTTCCCATCGATAAAAAGCAAATTTTATGGCCAGTCGTGCGCATCTTAGATACCAAGAAAGTTTGCATTCCACCGACAACAGCAAATTTTTTCACGAAATTTTCTGTTTTTTACCGTCTGGATGCTGCGATGCTTTCTGATTTTGACACCTAGTCCCAAGCAGTTCTTATTTTTCTAGGAAAGTGGTTTGAATAGGACATTTTGTTCAAAACTTTATTTTGTAAGAGGAAAGGATTCTTAATCTAAATATATTTTAGGCATCAAGGAAAATGAGCAGAAAGATTGCGAAAAATAGCAAAAACTGTCCGGGAAAATCACGTGAAAAACTTTGAAAACCCTATGCTGTTATTTTTGGCATTTCTTCCCCATTTGATTGTAATTAAACAAAATAATTTCTTTATACAGTTTGCTGATGAAGGACGTTTGTAACAATATGGATGATATTAGCTGAATGCGTCAATGCCGGGAGATACAAAATAGGGAAAATAATTTTTTAATGTCCTTTGTACAAGCAAACCCATGTCATCATACCGTACAAGCGTACGAGCAGAGTTAAGTAGATTCTCAGGGACAAGATATTGAACAAGAATAGACACTTTACCTTTCGAAGCAGCATTTGACGATTGAGGAACTTTAACGGTTCTGCAGTCTACCTGACATGCAGCATGTTTCCGTGAATACCATCTTTTCCAGACAACGTACGGAAAACTCGCCAAAATGACCCAGGCCCATGGAATCGCCATATAGCGCACCACTAAAGCGTAGAGTCGAAGTGCAGGCAAACGCATCTGAAACACCAGAGGATCTTCGCGCGATTCAGCGCCAGTGTAGTTCCATAGCGCCGAAATCACTCCCGGAAGCCGTAACACGATGACCAGGAAGTTCATTGCCATGCAGATTATTATGGCAACCTTTCTGTTGTGGTATTCTTTATAGGACATTGGCCAGGTCACCGCCCAGATTCTGTTGAAGGCAATGAGCAAGTGTCCAGTCGAAGCCAAACCCTGGAAACGCCGTCACGCAAACCCTGCACAACGCACAATGAAAAGGAGTTGTATGGTTTATGTCCCGCATGCGATACAGTTGCATTTGGGAGGGCGAGAATCATGAAAATCGATTGAAAAAACATCAGCTGCATCATATAAAAATTGAACGGCGTGTGTAGTGATGGGTAATATAGAAAATATCCCAGTACGAGTAAGGAAAGAATCGAAGAAACGGTGTATTCCACTAGCAATATAAGTTGACCCACTTCATGAATCACACTGTCTAAAGGAGGAACTGAAATGTTGCCGGGCCCAAGTAAGGAAACAGCAATATAGCCGGAGCTGTTATCCGAAATGGCAGCCGCCAGAATCGCCATAGTTCATTTGTGCAAGAAAATGCACACTGTAAATTGTGAAATTCAGTTTCTTAATTTACCTGTAAAGCAACAAGTAAGAGCGCGGCTAACGCATGCTGAGGCCTGACTATAGTACAGTATGCACGAATCGTTGCTACGCCTCATTTACCAATCTTGCATAATGATGTACATAGGTGAAGTCTTTTGATGCACTTGATTAGGATAGTATGCCAGCAACAGGAAGGAAATTTTCTGTACCAGTAACAACTCT